GTTAGAAATGCTAAATAAAACAGAAGTACTTGAAATTATATTTGATTTACTTTTACTTGTTTAAAAAGAATAAATGTCTCTTTTCTTTGGCTATATTTTAAAAGAAGCAAACAAGTAGAATTTCTTAATGTTTGTACTTTTGCTAATTTTCAAAAGAAAGACAGAAGCAGTATTTCTGTTGTGTCATTAAGGAAACAAAATAATAAATGTGTTGTTACCAGTTTAGAAATTGAGTACCTGAGGATATTTTATCAAATATCTAGGTATTTCTACACAGTGCTAATATCAGTAGCATCAATTCTATCTGGAATTATAATTCAGTATGTAAGGGAATTTCAGTTCTCCCCCCAAATTGAATATTTTTATATCACTTGAAGTAAATAAAAGAAAAAATATTTTCACCAAAATTAATTATGCTGATCTAAAATGTGTCACATCTCATTCTCCCTAGTCTTTCACCATCAAATCTGGGTCTGTTTTTTCCTTATTTACATGCTGAGATAGGTTCAAGGTGTAAGGAGAAAGGAGTTTTCACCTCCTACCAGATAACCTAGACTCTTAGGTCTGTCTTCTGTTCCTTTTCAACATTTCTTCTGTGTCATTCCTGTCATGCAGTTATTGAAAAGCGGTCTTTTCATCTTTATGACTCATTGCTTCTAAATTCCCATCCGACCTGCCGTGAACTGGTAACTTCGACATCAACACTTTTGGTAGAATTGTAGAGTGTTGGTAGAACTTCAAGAAGGGCTAAGAGGATTGCGAAAGAAACTAAAGATAGGACTTTGTGTCTAGTAAGGGCTCATTAAGGATATTTGGACCAGAGCGTGAATTGATAACTGGGATAGTGGGATCTCTAATTACATAGACCTCCCCTGCTGCTGCCACCATTCCGAAGACAGTTATTTTAATTCACATTTCTTCGTTGCCTATTAATATATGCTAGGCACTTGGGGTGTCAAATAAGTAAGATGTAGTGCTCTTCATGCCTGTGAGTGACAGATACTTTTAATGTGACATTAGTAAAACAGATAAGCATAGAGGGATAACAGTTAAACTAAGATAGTTTAAATATAGCACTATATATCAGACACTAAGCACTATTTATGAAGTCTTTTAATTATCATGACTCTGTAAATTAGATAACTGAGGCACAATTTATTTTTCAAGGTCACCTGAGGTTTTGTATTTCTAGCCATCACTATGAACTATGAACTTGGAGGTCAGTGAGGGCTTTTTTTTTTTTTTTTTTGAGACAGAATCTCACTTTGTTGTCCAGGCTGGAGTGCAGAAGCAGTTCTCATGCCTCAGCCTCCCACATAGCTGGGATTACAGGCATGTGCCACCACTCCTGGCAAATTTTTGTATTTTTAACAGAGACTGAGTTTTGCCATGTTGGCCAGGCTAGCCTTGAACTCCTGGACTCAAGTGATCCTTCTGCCCTTGCCTCCCAAAGTGCTGGGATTTATAGGCATGAGCCACCATGCCTGGCCTCAGTGAGGGCTTTTTGTAGATCTGAATGAACTGAATTTTAAATTACAAGTCGGATTTGGCCAAGCAAATAAAATAATATATTTATTTTTTAATCTGGTGGAGACTAAGAATGAATCATGAGCCATGACAAAGAGACATGGATAGTTCTAATCAGAGATAAAGGATAGGGCTGGTAGTAGCTAGAACACAAGCACTTAGAGCATGAAATGTGAGTTGCAAATAGTGGAGAGAAACCTGTGGGATAATTGAGGATCTTCTCTAGGGGGCTTTGACATGGTGCTGAGTAGCTCTGCCTTCCTCTGAAGGCAGGAAAAGATTGCTTATAATCAGGGAAGTGCCTGATGAGATTGGCATGAGGAACTGTGACTGGCTGCAGTGTGGAAGGCCCATTGGAAGCATGTGAGGGGCAGAGCCTGCTGCAGTTACTCCAGGTGCCTTGTGGAATCCTACGACCCATTGTATATTGTGGAGATAGTATATAAATTGTGTTTATGCTATAAAATCTGTTTTATTGGTAATCAAGATATTCTGCTAATCTGGCATTTCAGTTTTATACCTTCTGTTGTAACAATTATGACTATCCTATGAAAACTGGCTCCCCCCAACCCATCAACTCCTTTAGTGTTGTTGTTTAAACATCTTTAGCCCAAAGAATTAAAAATGTGGGCCAGTTATTATTGTTTTTCAGTCCTTTCCTCAAAAACAAAAGAAAACCAAAAAACTAATTTTTTTTTTTTTTTTTGCTTAGAAGAAATGTTGGAAATAGAACTGCAAAACTCATTCTTATAGCATTTGCTTTATTTTGAGAACTACTCAATTCATCATTAGAATTAGCAAGGTTATTTTAAACAATTTCACAAGTAAATAGACTTTTAGGAAAAAGCCCTACAATGCTGACATGGTAAATATATTTATTGATTTAAGTTGTAAATTATCAAAGTTAATCTTGAATAATAGAGACATTATTCTTAGATGTAGTACTGTTTTAATGGATACATACTATATAGAGGAATTAATTGCCTGTCAATATAAGACTGTCACTGTATTTTCAGTTTGTTTTCTCTAGACCAGTAGTTATTTGTATGAGGATGTTTTAGTTTTTCTGTTTTAATTTTATAAGGGTTGTTCTACTTTTGGTTTAACTATTTATTACTTTTTAGTTTTATTTCTTGGTGGATCAGAGAAAATATAGCCTTAAATATACATTGAAGTTTTCTATGTGGTGAAGTATTTTTAAAGTTAATTTTTGTCAGTGTTTCTTGGAGACTCGAAGAGAAGTTATATTCTTTGCAATGTTCAAAGTTTATGTCTATTAATTTTATTAAGTGTGAAAAGACTAAGATAAAATCTATAACTCCATATCAATAACAAGTTTGTTGATGTTCTGCGTTATTTAGATCACAGACTTATTTTTATTGAGTCGCTATTGTTAAACATTTCATCAGTAGAAAATTATTCTAATTTATTTTGCCCTAAGTTATTCACTATTTGTATTCTTAGATTTTTTTTTGTTTTTATTTTACTACACATTGAATTTTTAACCTTTTATGCACGAAGATTTTTCTTTTTTAACTCTTAATCCCATGACAGTTAAGTATTTTTGTATGTATAAATTTTCAATTTTTGTTTTTTACTTCCATATGAAATTATGTTTCATTTATAGGAAAATTTAAACTTTTTATGGTATAGTTATGCTTGGTGGCTACTCAAAAGTTTTTGCTTTTCTTTGCTATGTAGATTATTTTGTCTTCCTTACTTCTGCAGTGACATTGCTATACAACCATTAGCATTATCTACACAATATTAAACAGTAAACCCCCATTCTGCCTACCCCCAACCCCTGGTACGTCATATAATAAGTGGAATCTATATTTGTCTTTTTATATCTGGCTTATTGTACTTTTGTATTTGGCTTATTTTATGTTTTAAAGGTTCATCCATGTTGCAGCATGTATCAGAATTTAATTCCTTTTGAAGGCTCAATACCATTTTTTTTTTTCTTCCAAGATGGAGTCTCACTCTATCACCCAGGCTGGAATGCAATGGTGCGATCTCAGCTCACTACAATCTCTGCCTCCTGGGTTCAAGCCATTCTCCTGCCTCAGCTTCTTAAGTAGCTGGGATTACAGGTCTGTGCCACTATGACTGGCTAAGTTTTATATTTTTAGTAGAGACGGGTTTCACCATGTTGGTCAGGCTGGTCTTGAACTCTTGACCTCGTGATCTGTCTGCCTCAGCTTCTCAAAGTACTGGGCGTGAGCCACCGTTCCCGGCCCCCTTTTCTTGTATGTATACACAACATACCACATTTTGTGTCTGCATTTCAGTGGCCACTTGCACTGTTTCCACCTTTTGGCTGTTGTGAATAGTGCTGCTATGAACCTGGGTGTGTATACATCTCTCTTTGAAACCCTGCTTTCAGTTCTTTTGGGTGTATACCCAGAAGTGGAATTTGCTGGATTATATGAGAATTCTGTGTTTAATTTTTTTGAGGAACTGCCATTATGTTTTCCACAGTAGCTGCACTGTTTTACATTCCCACCAGCAATACAGAAAAGTTCCAGATTTTCCATATCCTTGGAAATGACATGTGACTTTTGGGCCTCATACCTTTTAGTTGTTCCCTGTATCGTCATCCTTGAATTAAAAAAATTATGATATGTTAGATTTTTGTTTCTAGTTTGCAGGTATTTCTCATTTTTATTTTCATATGTTTTCAGTTGAAAATTGAAGGTAAGAACTTTAGCATTTTTTTTTCTTTCTTTCTTTCTTACTGAGGGCGGCCTTTTTTTAACCCACTGGTTTATGGAGGCATATCTGGCATATACTTTGGTCTATACTGATGTGACTTACAAGTCAGTCTGCTATGCATAGCTTCTTCTTCATATTTAATGTATACCTTTCAGTTTAAAAGGTATTATTTCTCTTGGAGTAGTAAATTATTTAAAATTTATGATGCCATAACATTTTCCACTTGAAACCTTATTTGAAGAGAGACAGAGTTTATACAGTTAGATATTTAATTGCTTTTTAATTGTTTGACTTTCCTTGATTTGTTTCTTTAGAACTGTTGGTATCAATTTGAGGACAGGGATCATGTCTCTTGTACTAATGCATTTTTTCCATTATGCCTGCCACTGTGTTAGGCGTATAGTCAGCATACGGAATATTTGACGAGGGTTTCCCTGTGAATGTTCCAAATTAGAACAGTAGAAACTAGGAGGAATTTATGGTTCATCACCTTTTGTATTTTATTCATTGCTGAAGAGTCATATTAAATACATAAAGGTTATTAGTTGTATTTTCAAAATGTAGGGGGTTTATCATTCTTTTGCGCTTTTTAAATTATGTCAGCAGATATCGGTAATTCTCAGAGAGGGGAATACATTTTGGTTTGTTTTCCTATTTCATGATAATGATAATATTTTAAACTATTCTCAGTGGCTTTTGTACACTGGCCCCTAAAATTAGTTGTTTTTTTCTCTTTTATGTTGTGTAAATGTTTTTAGAAAGAGAAACTGCTCCTGGTGTTGGGAGCCCTTGGAGAAACTATGTGCTACCATAAGAGTAGTGTCAGTTTGGAACAATCAGAGGTGATGCTTGTGCACCACAGAATGGCCTTTATCAGCATTTCACTGTTTGCAGTTCGACTGTTGCAAGCGCTTCTCCCTGTTGAAAAGGTAAGGTAGGTGATGCTGCTCATTTGTAGTTTACTGACTATTATAAATAGTTGCTGCGTTGTAAATTTCTTCTGATCTTTTCATGGTGTGAAGGTATTGTGCTTTAGGACATTTTCAAAATAGTGTAACAAAGATTATATGGGAAATGTAGAAATTGAACAATGGTTAACATTTTGAATAATTTTGCAAATCATTTGATAGGAAATTATTTTTAATTTGCAGTTGTTTTTATTGTGTATGTTTTATTGCAGGCTGTGCATTTGTTTGTTTTTCCCTTCACTTGTTCGTTCAGTGAATAGTTTATTGATTGCCTACAATGGGCTGGCAATGTTACATGCTGGATGTAAAACTGAGTAGGTTAGAATGAGTCCCTGGCCCCATAGAACTTAGTTTTGTAAAAGACAAGACTTGCTGTTATCTCTATGTATATGTATGTGTATGTGTATACATGTATATGTTTGACTTATTTAATTTCTTTGGTAACTTTGGAATCACTTGAAGAGATTATGTCTTATATACTAATACATTTTTCCATATATATATACATATATAATTGGTACACTTGATGTATCTTTTAATTGATTGAAGGTCATTGAAAGCCTACTGATCTTATCTCTGCAGTGAGTGTCTTGATTCTTATCATTAATATCAAGAGTAGCCTTTCCTTCTCTTCAGCTAGGTACATGTCAGAGTTTTTTTATTTTTATTATTATACTTTAAGTTCTGGGGTACATGTGTAGAACACGCAGGTTTGTTACATAGGTATACACGTGCCCTGGTGGTTTGCTGCATCCATTACCCCATCATCTACATTAGGTATTTCTCCTAATGCTATCCCTCCCCAATCCCCCCACCCCCTGCTATCCCTCCCCTAGCAACCCACCCTGCTTCAGGCCCCAGTGTATGATGTTCCCCTCCCTGTGTCCATGTGTTCTCGTTGTTCAACAGCCACTTAGGAGTGAGAACATGCCATGTTTGGTTTTCTGTTCTTGTGTCAGTTTGCTGAGAATGATGGTTTCCAGCTTTATTCATGTCCCTGCAAAGGACATGAACTCATTCTTTTTTATGGCTGTATAGTATTTCATGGTGTATATGTGCCGCATTTTTTTAATCCAGTCTATCATTGATGGGCATTTGGGTTGGTTCCAAGTCTTTGCTATTGTGAATAGTGCCACAATAAACATATGTATGCGTGTGTCTTCATAATAGAATGATTTGTAATCTTTTGGGTATTTGCCCAGTAATGGGATTGCTGGGTAAAGTGGTATTTCTAGTTCTAGATCCTTGAGGAATTGCCCCACTGTCATCCACCATGGTTGAACTAATTTACACTCCCACCAGTAGTGTAAAAGCATTCCTATATCTCCATATCCTCTCTAGCATCTGTTTTTTTAATGATCGCCATTCTAACTGGTGTGAGATGGTATCTCGTGGTTTTGATTTGCATCTCTCTAATGACCAGGGATGATGAACTATTTTTCATGTTTGTTGGCTGCATAAATGTCTTCTTTTGAGAAATCTGTTGATATCCTTCACCCACTTTTTGATGGTGGTATTTGTTTTTTTCTTGTAAATTTGTTTAAGTTCTTTGTAGATTCTGGATATTAGCCCTTTGTCAGATGGGTAGATTGCAAAAAAAAATTTCCCATTCTATTGGTTGCCAGTTTAATGATAGTTTCTTTTGCTGTGCAGAAGCTCTTTAGTTTAATTAGATCCTATTTGTCAATTTCGGCTTTTGTTGTCATTGCTTTTTGTATTTTAGTCCTGAAGTCCTTGCCCATGCCTATGTCCTGAATGGTATTGCCTAGGTTTTCTTCTAGAGTTTTTATGGTGTTAGGTCTTTACTTATTCACTGTTTCCCAGGTTCCTTGACACATGGAATATTAACAATAGTTTCCATTGCTGCTTCAGAAATTATTTTCTAGTTAGCATATGTTAATGTCATGGAAACGTTTCTTTTTCTTGTTTTATTTATTCAAAATACTGTTAGCAGTGCTTTAGTTTCTAAGTGTTAATCAAGTTGGTTTCTGAGGACTGTCCTAAGTTTTTATATTTGTTGTACTTTCTGTACGTTACTGGTGTGTTTTGTATTTTAGTAACCCACGGGATTTTTTTTTTGGTCACATGCATTTCTCTTGAAGGTATCCTGCTGTTTCCTTTCTGACAGCAACTTAATTGCTTAATATTTTTATTTTAGCAACTTATCAAAAGATTTTCAGAAGACACATCTGGTAAGATTAAATGTCCGGGTTTTTTTTGATTCAACTAGTTAATATTTGGGAATTTGTTTTATGTCTAAACTTAACCATATTTGTAGTTTGAGTTGTGTAATATATGATTTCAGACCCTAATATGTCTTTCGAAAGTTGTTTTTTTAAATTAACATGTTGCTTTAGCTGTCTTTCGCAGAGCTGCTTTTCTGCCTGCGATAGCAATAAACCTTCTTCTGCAGTAGTCTATTCTGGTACTTTTCTTTTTCCTACTTTTCTATTTTACCTGGCCCTTTTTTTCTTAAGCTTTATTTTTAACTTTTATTCAGAGAATAAGATGTTCATTTAAAAAACATTTTAATGTACAAAGAATAAAAATTCATTCATAATTTCAAGTTAGTTTTGAGGCTTTTTTCATTTTTGCCTTAAGTCAAATTGAGAGCATCCCTAAACGTTTTTTATTCTTTTTTGTTTTTGTTTTTGTGTTTGTTTTTGTTTTCGAGACGGAGTCTTGCTTTGTCGCCCAGGCTGGAGTGCAGTGGCACTTTCTTGGCTCACTGCAACCTCCACCTCCCAGGTTCAAGTGATTTTCCTTCCTCAGCCTCCCAAGTAGCTGGGATTGCAGGTGTCAGCCACCACACCCAGCTAATTTTTGTGTTCTTTTAGTAGAGATGGGATTTCGCCATATTGACCAAGCTGATCTTGAACTCCTGACCTCAGGTGATCCTCCCACCTCGGCCTCCCAAAGTGTTGGGATTACTGGTGTGAGCCTCTGCACCTGGCCTATTGATTCTTTTTTTTAACCATTTGTTATTATCTAACATACATTTTTTATTTAATTAAACACTTCATAAATTTTAATGGCTACTAATATTTTACCAGAAAGATGTTCTATGATTTGCATAAGGATTCCAGAAATTAAGCTTTTAGGTTTTGTTTTTTTTCCTTCTGTGATATTTTGATAACACTATGCTGAATTGCCACATACACGTTTACTCATATTTTGGATTCTTACATTCCTAATAAGGGCATTACTAGATCAAAGGTTGAATGCTTAAACATGTTTTTATTATAAACATAATTTAAAAATGTGACAGTTTCACAAGTTTTACTGTTTTTACTAAAGAATGGATAAAAAGAGTAGGACACAGAGAAGATAATTGTGAGAGTATATGGCGGGAAAGTTATTAAAAAGAAGCACTTTTCGAAAGTGCCCAAGGTGGTGTCTCCTCTGTGTGTTGCTAATCACAGTTTCTGAAATTGTGCACTGTTACTTTAATCAGAACACTTAAAATTTTAAAAGATTTTAAAAATGCTATTAGAAAAAAAGCATTAATTTTGTAAAGGCTTTTTTTTTTTTTACTTTTATAAACATTCAGAAAATACATAGTTCAGTGCTTTTTCTACTAAGTGAACATATCTGCCTTTAAAAAGTGACCACCCCCATAACAGAAAATAGCATGTTACCAGCATTCCAAGGCCCCTTCCCATCTGTGCCTCTCCCTTCTTCTCTAAGCCACACTTCTTTCTGACTTCTGTCAGAAAGATCAGTTGGCCTGTTTTGAATGTTATTTAAATGAAATTATGAAGTATGTATTCTCTCTACTCCTTTTCAAGGTCCATAACTATTGTTGCTTATAGCATTAATTTGTTAACTTTTATTTCAAAATATTTCATATTATGAAGTCTGTTAAAGATGATTTTAATATGTGTAAATTTATTTAAAATCTCCATACTGTGTTTTTAAATATGAGGTTATCTCTCAATGTTAGTGGTAAAAATACCGCAGATCATTCAGACATCAGTGTTTTGTGGTGTACTTATTATAAAAAGAAAGGAGTGGCATACTAAAATGCAGGTATGGGAGAAATTATGAAAACCAGAAAACTATTCCCTAGGCCTCTTTGTTGCCCTTAGTTATTAAACATTTACAGTTTTGTTTCCTAGAATTCTATAGAGCATCTAGTCCAAACTCCATTTTCTAAGTATCACTTATATACTAAATGTACTATCAGGTGATCTGGGAAAATGAGTAAAACATTGCATTTTCAGTATAATGTTTAGCTTTAAGGAAAATATCACTTGCTTTTAATTTTTAACTTGTATTCACTAGTCATTATGCTTCTAAAGTCCTTTTCTGTTTTGAAGAGTGACAATTTTTCAAGGCATGAGCATTAAGAATGGAAGAATTCCAGTCTTTTAAGACAGGAATTGAATTTAAAATATGGGTATCTTAATACTATATAACTGAAAAATTAGTGGTGCTACAATTGCTTGTTATTAAGTATTGCAAATAATCTGTGGGTCAAAGGATTGATGGAAAACTTTTATCAGTTGCATAGTGTTTATTTTTTGGTTGTATTTTTTCATCTATGTGCATATTTGGACAGGAATCAAAATAGAAATCAGTAATTTATTTTACGCTAGAATAATATAAAGTTAATTCTCCATGCTTTTTTTTTTTGTTGTTTAAAGGTTGTTGTTTTATTTTTTCTGTTTTTAAAAACAAATCAATATCTAATTTTTGGTACTTTATAACTTGGAATTTTATTAGAATAATTTTGATCATTGTGGGAGATTATAATTAAGGTATTCGTTTTTAGATGATTATATTTGTTTTGTTTAAGTACTTTAAAATGAGATCTAAACAAAAATGCTCTTTCATTGCTGTTAAATTTCTGCCTTGGTTTACATAATGTAAGGTTATGCTGCCCTCTGTCTGTTGCTAGCCCACTAACAATTGAAGTAGAATTTGGACTGTAAAACTTTTTGCCTATGAAGTTTTTTTTTTTTTTTTTTTGAGTTGTCACTGACCAAATATGTAGTTTTGATGTTGAAAATAAATATGAATATATGTAGAGATTTCCTAAACTTGACAAAATGTCCTCTGAGGCCTATTTTGAAACTGATATTTGTTGATTTTAAATGATTTTGGAGAATACTCATGTATAGGTTAAAATGTTATGTTGGTAATCTTGTGAAAAATATTGTGGTTGAGTCAACCAAATTGGTGAAACAGACGAAGGTCATTTCCTTGGGAAAACGTATGGGAAGTAAGAGCTAAAAGTATTGGCCCTGTTCTGGAAGCAGAAGCTCAGAGCATCCTAGGGACTGCTATTCCTCTTCCTTAGCTAGCGATGCTGACTGTGGTGGGTAAGGAAGAATTTGTAACACAAGGTCTTTAGCTTGTGTAAAACAATCGAATCACCTGGTGAAACCAGTTGAGTGACTTGGAGCAGTGCTTTTCAAAAGGCAATGTGCACACAGATCACTTAGAGATGCTGTTAATCACATCTTACATATTCTGATTCATCAGGTGACGGGTAGAACCTGAGAGCTGGCATTTCTAACAAACTCATAGAATTACGCCATGGCTACTGAGTGGCTGGGTTTAGAGGAAACATTTATAGCTCTTCTTCCCAATGCACATGAGATGATGGTGCTGATTATTTTTTATCTGATAGGGATGATGAATTTGCACTGAAACATCTTCACTTTTAGTTCCCATGACCTGTGACTAATGCTTATATATGCAGAACTATCTTAGATCTCGGGTGTAAATTGTGATTAGTCCATTGGGTCATATAAGGATTAGCTGATGACATTAGCATGGGGCTATGAGTTGTTGAGATAGCAAAAGTTGCAAATATGAGTATGCAGGGTGAAATGTTAGAATTCCTTTGTAGTGAAGCAAGAAAAGGAAATTAATATTTATCGAGTGCTATATGCCATATACTCTGCTTAATGTTCATTTAATTCTCACAGCAGCTGTTTTTCTGACTAGAGTCAGAGAAATCTCTCTTAAACTAGAACACACTGCCTTTAGAGTTAGCTCCACTAGGATTTACTGTCTTAGCACAGTGACCAACTCACTAAATCGCCTTTGCTAATTGCTTTTTAGTTTCCCAGCTCTATAGGAGTGAAACCCCAGGACTGACTATAACCCTTACGAAATATCATCCCATTTGTGATCTTTAAATGCCATCTATTTGTTGATGCCTTCCAAATTTATACTTCCAGACCACACATATCACCTGAAGTCTAAACTTGTCTTCACTTGAATAAGTATCTCCAACTCAACATGTCCTAGACTTCATTCTTTGTTTTCCCTTCCAAATATGTTCTTTCTGTAGTCTTGCCTGTCTAGGTAAATGGCAACTTGATGGTTCAAGTTGATTGTTGATCAGGCAAAAACCTTAGAGTCAGCCTTGATTCCCCTCTTTTGCTCATATGTAGATATGATCCCTGAGCAAAAATTGTCATTTATCCCCTGAATATCTGTACAGAATCTGAAATACCTGAGTTAAACCCACCATTCTGTCCTGCCTGGATTATTGCAGTAAAGTCCTCCTCTGTCTCTCAGCTTCCACTTTTGCACATTACCATCAGTTCTCTACAGACCATTTTTGATACTGGTTTAAAATGTTCCAGTGGCTTCCAGCAGAGGACAGATCCTTATGATGACCCAAAGCCTTACCTCATCTGGCCCACCACTCCCCTCTGACTCCATTCCTCAGAACCAGCTATACTGGCTTCCTTGCTACCAAATATAGTTTTTGTAATTGTTCTTCTCTGTTCTGTGAATGTTTTCCTCGGATAGCCACATGGCTACTGACCCTTCCAGGGTTCTACTTAAATGTCACTTAATTAGCACAGCCTTCCCCTTCTACTTTAGAAAAGTAGCATTTCCCTGCCTCCACTCCCCATCACTTCTCTCTTCCTCTCCATCTTCCCCATCCTGTTTTAAAAAAACGTTTTTAGCCACACCTAACATCTTATGAAGTTATTAAGTATATTGGTTTACACTCTCTTTTCTTTAGTGGGATATGAACTTCATTTGGGCAGAGATTTTGTTTTGCTCTCTGCTGGGTTCCCAGGACTGGAGAGATGCCTAGCAGATAGTAGAGGAACACAGTAATACCCAATTAATATTTGCTGATTGAGTGACTAATAGGTGAGCAGTTAATTAAGTTTCTCCCCCACTCACACCACAAAAAAAGGTAGTTCTTCACAGAATAATGAAATTTCTCTTGACTTTCTAATAGCTGCTCTTTTAGTAGTCTGGAAGTTTGTCATGTCTGTGTAATCTAAAATTTTGATTTCTGTGGTTTCTGTTCTTTATTTAGCAACTATATTCATTTAAAAGTATTGTCATTCAACTGATTCAGCTCTTAGACTTTCAGATAGTTAATGATTATCCTTGAAATAGGTTATCCATGAAATAAATCATGGCCATGAAATAAATCATGAAATAGGTTATCCATGAAATAAATCATTGTAAAGGCAGCATTTCAGCTGTAATAGTGAGCCCTGTCAAGAGATTTTCTCCGAACGTTGAATTTTTAGTCCTTTTTATTTCTTTAATTGATATTTAGAACCCTGTCACAAAACTAGAACGATTTTTAAAAAACCATAATTCTTTCAGTTTTAAATCTATTGATTTAAGGTGTGTATTTCATTTGGGCATATTGATTTTATACTAATTAAGGGGCTATCTTCTATGAGTATTTTAGAACTATTAGAAATATCATATTGAATTTCCCCTATCCCCTCTAAAAGACAAAACCAAAGAAAAAAGTCAATTTCATTTCAAATCAATCTATAGCTATACTTGATTTAGTGTTATTAATATGTCGTTAATAAACTCTGTTGTGCTCCGCTATGGGATGGGAAGGGTTCTTGTCTCAGTTTATTGGGTTATTGTGGAAATTTGTGTACATGTACAGAAAATACTTAGGGAAAAAGGCCTCATGCCTTAGTTCAATAGCAGAGGTTTAAACAAGGTGTAGGGCTCAAAGAGAGAAGTTGGTTTGGGGAAGAAGAAAGTAGTATCCTGGGCTTTGAGAAAGAGTTGATATGTACACTTGAGACATTTTGTATTGAACAAAGACATAGAGGCAGAGGTAGATGATGTGTTGGGAAATGGGATTTTCTTTGGAAAAAGCTTCAGTTTTGTGACAAAGAATTGCAAAAAAGGAAGTGGATTAGATTATAGCCCACCATGTTTCTCTAAACGGAGGTTTTTTTTTTTTAAAAAAAACAAAGTTTTATTTATTTTTTTAAATTCATCAAGGCAAGCAAGTTTTTACCAGAGCCCATGACAGCAGCGTTGTTTCTCCTTTCTTTGGACATGCCTATTTCTTTGGAATATCCAAATATTCATGAAGCTGTTGTGGCCTATTTGGAACAGCTGAATTCTGAAAACTACAGTATTTATAAACAAACTGCAGAGGCCGTTTATTCAATTGAATGCACCTGTAACTTCCTGTCTGATATTGAGAAGGAGGTAAAAAATTTTTGTTAATATATCTTTTAAATCCCTTTGACATATTTAGAAAGTTTAATCCATACTTTTCAAATTGACAGACATATAGTTAAGTTGTTACAGGTGGGATACATTATTACTGAGTTGGGTCAGTTATAAATAACCTGTTATTTAACAGGTTAAAGTAAGGATATGATTTGTATAGAGGTAAAACAAAGAGTTTAATTAATGGTGTATATTCCTAATATCAGTGATTTTAAAAAAAAGTGGTGGTTATTTCAAATGTCTTAATATTTAATAATGAGTACCTCTATGAAGTGACTTACTGATATGAACTGAGTGACAGTTGATGTAACCAGAATTATAAGGGCTATTTTAGTGCTACTTGCAGACACATTTTTGCCTTAATATTTTGTAAGTACATATTACATATATATAAAGCCGGATTTTTAAAAAATATTAAATAGTCATGAACTACATTGTTTATAATGTATTAGGATGACTTTAGGGCAGTGTTACAGCAATAATTATTTTTCAGTATTTATCCCTTTTGAAAATAATATTAGTATATTATCATTGAAAGGGTTAATGGGTCTTAGACATTGATACAGTACTTGTTTACTCTTTGAAATTAACAAAATAGGTCCTGGAGATCTTGAGGAATTAGGGATAAAATTCTAATTCATTTGATGCCTACAGTAGAATCTATATGAACCTGTTTATTATCTTTGAATTTTTTATATTTTGATAGCCTCCTTTGCTACCTAGGCTTCAGCCTTGATCTCTTGGGCTCCAGCAATCCATCTGCATCAGCCTCCCAAGCAACTAGTAGTACAGGCACATGCTACCACACCTGGCTCATTTTTAAATTGTTTTGTAGAGATGAGGTCTCGCTATGTTGCCAAGGCTGGTCTTGAACTCCTGGCCTCAAGCTGTCCTCCCACCTTGGGCTCCCAAAATGCTATTTTTACCGTGTTAGCCACTGTGCCTGGCCTGGAACTTAATATTTATTATTTTTCTTATTCACTACTATAGTTTTTTTTTTTTTTTCCTTTTGCCACATGTTAATACCGTTGGTTTCTTGTTTTCTCTGTGATAGAATTTTGAATTGTGTCTTTATGTTGAATTATTTCTATGACCTTTTTATTTTATTTTATTTTATTTTATTTGTTTTTTAGACAGAGTCTCACTATGTCTCCCAGGCTGGAGTGTAGTAGCGCAATCTCTACTCACTGCAATTTCTGCCTCCGAGGTTCAAGTGATCCTCCCACCTCAGCCTCCTGAATACCTACGATTATGGGCATGTGCCACCACACCCAGCTAATTTTTTTGTATTTTTAATAGAGACGGGATTTCACCATGTTGGCCAGGCTGGTCATGAATTTCTGACCTCAGGTCATCTTCCCGGCTCAGCCTACCAAAATGCTGGGGTTACAGGTGTGAGTCACTGTGTCCAGCCTCTGTGACATTTTGCATGGTCAGTTGATCATACATGTGTTGAATGTCCTGTATGTTCCTAGTAGTCAGGCTGTTACAAGAGGCAGGTTGATAATAAAATACATTAGCTCTGTTTTTATTAGGGGAGGTAGAGCCAAAAAGAAGTAGTCACAGAACCAGGCAACTTGATTGTAACTTTAAGCTTACTCAGAGTTAAATAATAGAAAGCCTCATGTGGCATTTAGCTAGGGAATATTCCATTTCTCCACTAGGCTGACGTTTTTAGGTTGCTTGGTGAAAAAATGGACTTAAACACATGTAAACAATCTTATGGTCGCTGAATGTTCTAATTTCTTGAAGCTGCTTAGTTAGCTGTTGAGAATTTTATTGTACATGAACTTGACATTTATTGTTCCATTCTGCTTCTTTTTTTAGGGAGAGAAGGATCTCTTAGAATTAGTGGAGCTGGCGGATCAATCCTTGCGTAGCTTTTCCTGTCATCAGCATTTCCCCCTAATAAAGGAAATCATCAGCATTTGTTCAAAGATGTAATATTTTCTTTCTTAATGTGATTATATTATTATTGGACACTTAGGGTATGTGTAAACTTAGAAACAGTGAAAGTGAAACTGATCTTATATCTTTGCTATTATTTTTTAGTTGCTTTTGTATGTCTGACTTAAAGGTTATATGTACAGCTGCATTAGGATACTTAACTGTTATATTCAAGATTAATTTAAAAAATGTCATGCCAGCAATCAAAATGAATAATCCTTGGATTTTTATACATTTGTTTTTGGTATCCATCCAGACTATTCACACACATTGTTTGTTTATCTTTAAAGTTTTAATTAATAATTTAAATTGAGAGTTTGGACCTTTTATTACTTTATACCTTTTCCTTATGTGGATTTTTAGAAAACACTGTGTATTGGTTAATTTATTTTGAGGACATCAGCAAATTTCTATTTAGAACTAGTGTCTTCATTGTTTTTGGAAAGTATAAATTCTGTGATGTGTTAGACATCAACTGAGTGTAGGTTTTTAAAGATATTTTGGGTTTTAAAAAATACTCTTTAAGAGAGAGGCTTCTCTACCCTGAAATAAATAAGTGCTCAGGTAGGTATTTGCTAATATCAGTTATTTTTAATAAGATCTCAGTCTGAGGAATTGGAATAGGAAGAAATCCTTTTCAGTATGCTTTGCAGTCTTTTGCTTAGTAACTTATTTGCCTTGGATGTCTTGGTTTTTACTTTTTTACCAGCTGGAAATCTGCACAGGCCAGTCCATTACTACAAGGAGAAAGTCAGAAGGTGCTTCTCCATATGTTGTCTCACCCGTTGCCACAAGTGAAAGTTGAAACTTACCACTGCTGTCTGGAAATCACTAAGGTGAGGTTTTGTTTGTTTGTTGTTGAGACAGAATCTCGTTATGTCGCCCAGGCTGGAGTGCAGTGATGCAATCTCAGCTCACTGCAACCTTTGCCTCCCAGAGTCAAGCGATTCTCCTGCCTCGGCCTCCTGAGTAGCTGGAACTACAGGCGTGTGCCACCATGCCCGACTGATTTTTTCTATTTTTAGTAGAGATGGGGTTTCACCATGTTAGCCAGGATGGTCTCGATCTCTTGACCTCATATTCCGCCCGCTTCAGCCTCCCAAAGTTCTGGGATTACTGGTGTGAGCCACTGTGCCCAGCCTGTATGTTTTGTTTTTGAGAACAAATAGTAGTCTCTCTTGTTATACTTTTAAACTTAAATTACTTGATCTTTTGTATGAGATATAAGAACTGTATCCCATAAAAATAGATGATAATTACTAGTCAATTCTGGAAAATTTGTGCTATTAAATTTCTTTAACTTAGTAAATCTAGCAATTGAATTGCTTTATTCGAAGTTTCATTAAGACTTACATTTATGTAACATTCAGATAATTTTTCCAGTCACTAGGATGATAGGAAAAAAAGTATGTCAGAAATAAATACATATGTGTCAGTCTTGAATTTGTTTTTCAAAAAATGCACTGAGCTGTTAGTAATTTTGAAAATTCTAGATTTTAATATACTATAGTGTTTATAACCAAGTGTCATACATTTGATTGCAAAAATTTAAAAGATATTTTTTGTTAAAACTCACCTTACTATCCTAGTTGTAAAAGGGGAGAAAATAAAAGAATGTGAACTTTCTTTTAATGTTATTCTTGTTAACTATTTGGAAATTTATATTAGTTGACACTGTTCTTGCAAAATATAATTGTGATTTTTCTTTTCTCACAAAAGATACTCATCTGTATAGTGCATTGTGGTTTTAAAAATTGATAAGTATTTATTTTCATGGAGTTATAATAATCCAAGTCAAAGCTTCAAATGATGAGATTTCTTCTAGCTAGCCTCTGTGTTGTAAAGATGTAGTACCTTGATATAAGGATTTGTAATGGCATTTCACCTTAATTGGCTATGTCTCTGATATGATATTATTCCAGTGCCTTCTGGTAAACCTCCAAGGCATTGCTGCAGCTCTACCTGACCCAAAGGTAGGAGTATGCTACTAATATGTAGGTTACTTTTTCTGAAGAGGCAAGTTAGCTTTTTATTGTAAGACTTAACTTTGAGGACAGTATAATAAAGATGTAAAATAGCTTTTAAACTTAGGGATGATTAAATGGTGACCACTTCCATGCTACTTGCATCTGACATTCATTTAGCAATATTTGCTGGACACTCTACTGCATGCTAGACTGTAGTGATACAAAGTACAGAAAAGAGCCTTGTCATCAGAGAGCTTACCTTCTGATAGGGGAGAGAGAGAGAAGTATGTAATAATTTAAAAATATTTTTTAAGTACATAAAAAGTATGTATTTATATATGTGTGAGCATATATATATATGTATATAGAGTTTTCTTTATAACATATACAGAATATGTGTGTGTATATATAGTTTTCTTTACAACACTGTATATGCAGTCTGTGGATATAGGGATTTAAAGAAAATAGTGTTGTAAAGAAAGCAAAAGGACGAAGGAACAGAGAATGACTAGTAATGTGGACTAAACTTATGTAGGCTGGCTGGGGAGGGAGAATTTTTAGCCAGAGGAAACAATAGGTGGAAAGTCTCTGCTTTTCAGGTGAGAATGTACTTTGTGTGTTTCACGAACAAAAAGAAGGGCAGTATAATGAGAAAATAGAAAAGTGATGCCAGATTGGGTCTGAGAAGTAGGCAGGGTATCCAACACTGTAAAGCTGCGAAGTTTACTGTAAGTACAATGAGATGCTTTGAATGATTTTAATGGGATCTGATGATCTTTCTGAAAAGATCACTCTCCCATTGTGTGGGGAAGGAATGGATTGTAGTGGATCAGAATGGAAGCAAGAAGACCAGTTCCATTGTAGCAGCCCTGATGAGATGTGGTGGTGTAGGGGAGATGAAGAGAAGGAAATGAATTTGGGATATATTATGGACCTGGAGCTAATTGGTCTTGCTGATAATGGGAGTAAGAGATACAGAGTGATCAAGGACGAATTGTAAGGATTTGGATTTAGCAGTTGGATTGATGTCCCAAATACGGGATTGTGCATTGAGTAGAATTCTGTTTTGAACCTAAGTTTCACATGCCTTTTTATATCAAGTGCAGATGTTAAGTAGACTGTTACATATAATAATGCTAATAATTTCAGTGATATTGATAGCAGCTAATATTTATTGAGCATTTACTCTGTGTATCAAGTACTTTTATGAGTATATTATCTCATTGAATCCTATAGCTCTGTGAGCTAGGTACTACCTCTTTCTGAAAACAGAGATACTTTGAATTTGTCCGTCATTCAACTAAAAGTGGTAAAACTGGGCTTTGAACCCTGATCATTTCACTCCAAAGCCCATATTCTTAAGCATTGCACCACACTACCTTTGGAGTGTGGAGCCCAGATGAGGTGTCAAATTTTCAGTCATCAGCATAGAGATGATATTTAAGCCACAAGCTCTGATAGGATCAACTACTGAGAGACTAGGAAAGAGAAGGCCTTCCAGGATCTAACCAGTTAGAAGTTGGGAACAGAGGGAGCCAGTAGTGGAGACAGAGGTGAGAAGAAAGAGTCAGATGATGATGAGAACAGAGATGAACACATTGGATTTGGCATCACTGGGGTCATTGGTGTCCTCTACAAGAAGTCCCTGAGGAATGGTAGGGATGTAAGTCCTGCTGGTGTGGGTTGAAGAGGGCCTGGCCAATGTGGAAGTACCAACTGAGGACAGTGAACTCTTGGGAGGACTTGTGCTGGGAAGGAGAGCTGAAAAATGAATTGTAATCAAGAGGGGGAAGCCAGGGCCAGAGACACATTAGAATGTGTCATATGTTGATTAGAATAATCATGTGAAGAAAAATAAAGGTGCTGGAGAAAAGTAAGACAATTTGAGGGAGTAAATTCTGATTTCAGAAGGGTATAGTCACAGTTTAGCTGGTAGGTAAGTATCTTAAGGAAGTAAGTGACAGCTATGTTAAACTTTAAGGCTAAGGCTTTAGATCTTTGAAAAGCTTATAATACAAAGTTGCTGTCTGTGGCATGAGATTAATAGTTGAAAGAAAAATGATGTATGCATATACATATGTGAGTGTATGTATGTACCCTTTTGACCTTTGAATTGTTGGAAGTAGGAAGAAAGAAGAAGAAATTCACAGAATGAAAAAAAGTTCTATTCATGTAACTCATTATTGATCGTATTTTTACCTTCTATATTGTATTTAAATTCTATTAATATTTCAAGTAGCTTCCCCCCACACCTTAAATAGCTGCTAACAAAATGTTATTCTCCATCACATATTGAGAAAAAGATTTCCGATAGTTACTCTAAGTGATGGTTCAAAGTAATTGTATTTTAGGTACATAGCTGTATGGATGATAACTTAATGTATATCCTTAATATATACATACATGTGTATATATGTATTTATTATATGTGTATATATGTATAATACGTGCGTGTGTGTGTGTATATATGTGTATATATATATATAAAGTTATGTCTCCCATAACTTGAAGCCTTTTCATGTTGAATTTTTCTTTCTTAACCTTTATAAGTAAAATGCAAATGCCTTAGGATAAGTTTATTATTGTGTTTATGTCCTTTGGGTTTATCATGATGAATAACTTTTAGAAATTATGGTTGTCTCAGCCCTTTGTTTACTTAATTTATCATTATTACGCTTTTTGGCAGAAAGTAGTATATATCTCATACAAACTAAGAAACTGTTGGACAGGAGACTCTTTTTCATTCTTTATTGTTAAAAAGGTTTCAATGAAGTAAAAACTAAAATAGAAATTGGATTATAGATAGAAGAAAGACAGATCTTTTGGAAAAATCAGTGTTGCTAATTTAAAAATACTTTTTAATATTATTTTACAGGAATGTTTAGGTGTTCAGAATGTCACTAAACCTGTGTCTTCACTTTGCAATGGAATTCATTTTCTACTTCATCCAAAAGTTCTGTATGAAATCTCCGTATTTGGCATTCAAGACCCCAAAAGTGAGGTATGCTGTTAAAAACAGTGAAAAAAATTACTGTGATTTACTCAGCTAAATTGAGGTGATATTGTAATATAGTTTAGATAGCATGGTGAGAAACTAAAAGGAAACCTGTCTTAGGTGCATTGGTTCAGTTGAAGTGTTATTTAAATAAAAACAAACACTATGTAAATTGTGGAAATAAAAATACAAGACACACTTGATCTCAAAATATTTACATCAGTTTACTTATATTTTTCGTCTAAGATGTTGAGGACTGTACAGTACAGAGAGCTATAGTAAGCAGGTTATTTCAGTTAGGGAAATTTTTGCTCAAGGGACAAATGTACATTAAAGGTAAAAAAGTAGAAATCTTTAAGGAAGAAAAAATGAGAAGAGAATGTAAGATGATGCTCTGGGAATGTGAACATTTGAAGAAAGAGATGTTAATTCTACCATCTTTCCAGATGTTACGAAATGCTACAGTTATGTCAGGTGACCTAGTAGGACATCTCATTTGACTCGTTTTGTGTTGTTGAGCAGGTGAACACTGCTGCCAAGGCCATTCTGTTATACCTGCTTCAGGGACGATTGATGATGACAGCACTGACCTGGAACAAATTTATTGAATCTCTCTGTCCTGTAATTCCAGTGCTGCAGGTATTCTGTGAAATTCACCTTTTATGATACCATTTATCTTTGGCTGGGTCTGATTGATTTAAACACATGCAAACAGCAAAACTGTCATGTTGAGAGAGAAATGAAGAGAAGCTGTGAAGGCGCTGTGGATGAGCGAGCAGGAAGTGGGTGGCGGTCTTGTTTCTGGCAGAAAGTTAAACAAGGATAGCTAATTTGTCTGTATATATTTTATGTATCTGGGTGGGAGGTTAAAAATTGAGGTGCAGGCACAGCACTGACTGTGAAAAATAGAACTCAACCTTATGTAAAGGCTTTTAGGCAGAGCTAACCGTGCTTTTTAAGCAGACCTTACATAACCACCTTGCTTCATGAATTCTATCCGTGCATGTATACAATTAAAGTGATACTTTAATTAACATGCTCTTAGAAACAGCTTTTTTTTTTTTTAAGCAATCCTGGATATTAAAGGAGTCAGGTCCCTGTCTCTTTTGGATGAAAAGGTAGAGTTCAGAATGCCATCATAGGCACAGGCTTCTTTTAGAAGAGAGAGCCCAGGCCTTGTGCCTTGAGATGGACAGGGTCCTCTTCCATGGGTGTAGCATTTATAGCACTCCATCTTCTGAGGGTGGAATGGGCTGAGGATCTTCGAGGTGCTTCACCGAGGGGAAGTACCACTATTAGAATCTTAGAAAACAGAAAAATCAGCAAGTGTCAAGAAGGTTGGCATGTTTTCCTGAAGTTCTCCTGTATGTATGTGTATTTTCTTTTAAATAGAGCTTTATTTAGGCTCCTTACCTCATAGAGGTTATTTTGAAAAATTACTATTGTATTCAACTGAATTGAAAGACATTTTATGAGTTGCTTGACAGGACAACACAATTCTTAAGTTGAAAAGTTATGTATAAAATTAAACAGTGATTTCTCTTTAAAAACAAATCTGTTAGGGCTATGCTGACACAGAAGATCCTTTGGGTAACTGCATTTTCCTTCTAAGCAAAGCAAGTTCTGACCCAGGAGAAGAGATCCTTCCCTGTACTACCCGGTTAAGGTCCATGCTGCGACTTTTGCTAGTGAAAAAGCCATCGTGAGTACAGCATAATCTTTTGAACATTTTTGTTTTGAAGATTAATGAAAACATGTAAGAAAGTATAATAGTTATGTTAATTTGAAACAAAACTAAATCATTTTGAAGGGGGTGATACTACATTACTAGAGGAAACTAATGCATGAAACTAAGCAGATACAGCGTTGTTTATGTACTTGCTGATGTTTCATCCATTTTACAGCTGAATTATCCCTTGCCAGAGCAGCCTGTGTTACAGCACGGCCACTGAGTGCTGTTCAGTAGTACCCTAGGCAAGTTGGAGAGCCATGGAGATAAATAGATGGTAAAAATTACAGTGTATTCCCATTTTCTCTTTAGAAATTGTTAGCCTCCCAGAGTGATCCTTTTATAAACATCTGTTCTGAATATTAAGTTTTTCATAAGTGTAGTAGGCCGCCTGTCTCATATCCCAGAGTTATGCAGGTATTTTAATCTCATTTATGTGTGTTCTTACTTGGGAAACTGAAAACGTATCCTTTCTTTGACCACCATTGATATAAGCACTGTTTTAATTAATGAAAAGAAGGGGAATGATACTGTTTTTCTTCCTTCTCTGTCATTGCAACATGAATGTTTTCTATTATTATTTTTAGGTAGTAGTGGTTAGATTTTTCCTTATTGAAAGAAAAGAATGCTTATAGTCGAGATGGATAAGCAGAGAGAAAGAGCAGTCGTTGGTTGAAAAGGCTAGGAAGAACAGACAGACATTCTTTTTTGACAATGGTCAATTTATGTTTCCCAAACCTTATATCAAGAAAATATAGCAGCTTATTTATAGACAGATTATTGGACAGAAAAATAAGGAAGTAGGCGGAAGTTAACTAAACCATTAAGAGAATGGAAGAAGGAAAACTATAGAGTCTTTAAAATAGTGTAGTGTAGAGAGTGATGTTATGGGTGATACAGGAAGAAGTAGGTGGATGGAGTTAATGTGCTTGTATTCTCAGGGGTTGTCTTCTACACGTGTAGAGGAGCTGTTCCTTGTTAATTAATGTACTAGTGTGGTACTCCTTACTTGAGCAGACCCCCAAATTTGGAGATTCAACACAATAGGGGTCATTTCTTGTTTGCTTTTGGGGGCCCAAGGTCCTCAGTTTAATAAAGAATTTTAGGGCAAGCCATCCCCAGGAGCGTAGGGTAAGGCAAGGCCAGACTTTAAGATAATTCTCTACTATACAGAACTTAAACAATTTAAATGACATATTTGTTTTTCTTATTTTTTTAATTCTACTCCATCCCACCAACACATCCATAAACTCCATGTAGGCAGGAGTCCTGTTCATTGGCTAATCTTTATATCCTCAGAACTTCATAGAGTACCTTAAACATAAATACACAGGCATGCGTTGCTTGATGACATGGGTGCATCCTGAGAAATGCATTGTTAGGTGATTGTTGTCCTAGTGTGAACATCATAGAATGCCTTACACAAACCTAAGTGATAATAACCTACTACCTAGGCCATGTCATAAAGCCTCTTGCTTCTAGGCTGCAAACCTGTATAGCATGTTACTGTTCTGAGTACCATAGGCAGTTGTAACACCGTGGTATTTGTGTATTTAAACATAGGAAAGGTTTAGAAAAATACAGTAATAGAATTCTGTGAGACCACCATCGTATATGTGATCCACTGTTGACTGTAACGTTCTTATGCAGTGCATGACTATACTCAAAAAGTATTAAAAGAATTATATACATGTATAGGAATAACCAGATTCTGACATCCTATGCTAAACTAAAAAGACCGTAAACATATACATACCAGAGAACAAGAGGCATAAATGCATGCTTTGCATATCTCATCACTAGCCACCTTTACTAGGGGTTATACCTGTCTTTCAACTGACAACCTCAGATATTGATTTAGATATCGTTGGCTTAGAATGTAAGGAACAATGGAAAACTATTAGGTAGGTGTTTAGCCTTTCTAAGCTCTCTTGAGGTAACTGACAAATGGAGAGGGGGAACGTTTACCTGATTTGTTAGTCCTCTGGAGGTGATATCAATTAGCGATATTGCAGGAAATGCCTACTTTGTGTTAGATTCAGGAAGTATTTATGGGGTGTCTTCTATATACCTGTGAGCTGTGGGAACGTAGCAGCTCACAACACAGACATGGGCCCTGCCCTTTCAGCATTTAGCACGTAACCGGGAATATGCTCTTATTATCAATTATTCTTTAGTATTAATTGCCATAAAGTGAGATAAAAGTTATGATGCCGGGGCTCAGGGTGGCAGGCCTACATACAGAAGGCAACCTGCTCTAGTCTGCAGTAGGACGGCCACCCTAAGGATGCATGTCTTGATTGTTGTCTTATAGCTAGTTCTTAAAACCTGGCAACTTGTATTGCTTAAAATCTGTCCGGTTTCCAGGTATTTCAGGAACTCACCAGAGGAGTAACTGATACATGGTTGTCTCATTGTCTGCCACCTCAGTGATCTTTGTCCACTTGATGGTTTTTCTGTCTCTGTTTCATTGTTTAGTGGCATACCGTATTTAATCTTTTCTTGAAAAATCTCCCACCTCTGCACTCAGCTGTCCATATTCCTAATCCTTTCCAGATTAAAAAAAAGTATTTGTATTTTCACATTTGACAGGAATATAAGAAGATTTTCCTACACTGTAGTGTTGTCACCTATAGTTGTGAGCATCATTTCTCTCCTGTGGGTTCATCTGAGTGTTTGGTCTCTGGTCAGGGGCCTGTGATACTTTTTATGGTTGAGAATAGATCACTAGATTTGAAGACAGAAGTTACAGATTTAATTCACAGATGTACTTATTGAAGTTTACTGATATTTAATCTCAGTGAGTCTGTCTCATTTGTAGTTATTATTTTGCTTCTGATGTTTATTTTATAACTATTATATTGAATAAATCATTATGGTTATATATCAGAGATTTTTTGTAGAAAAAGTAAATTATCATTATTAGTGATGGCAGTATAATTGTGACTACTTATTGTACTTTGTTGATATATAATTATTTGTAATTATAAGCCCTTTTAAATTTGTTTATCACAAAAGTTCGACTTAAGTACTTTGTGTTCTTAGGGTCCGTGCACAAGCATTAAAGCTTTTAGCATTCCATCTTACCAGTGAAGAAGGGGCTGACACAAAGCGCCCTCTAATAGATGCCAGAGTTCTCTCCAGAGTTACTAATTTATTCATTGTGAAGAAGCCTATTGAACTCAAACTGGATGACAGAAGAGAGCTGGTTATTAAGGTGATTCTAACTTTTGAGTTTATTACTGTGTAGTAATTTGATACATTTTTATATGACATTCTTTAGTTTATGTATGTCCTGGGGTAGGAGAGAAGTATAAGGATTCAGGGCTGGTTTGAAATTGTGTTCTGGCTTCATCCAGCTTCTTGATACATTGATTATTGCAGTGGTCCCCAACCTTTTTGGCACTAGGGACCAGTTTCACGGAAGACAGTGTTTCCATGGATTGGGGCAGGAATATTGTTTTGGGATGATTCAAGTGCATTATATGTATTGTGCACTTTATTTGCATTATTATTACATTGTAATATATAATGAAATAGTTGTGCAGCTCTCCATAATGTAGAATCAGTGGAAGCTCTGGACTTGTTTTCCTGCAATTAGACAGTCCCATGTAGGGGCGATGGGAGAAAGTGACAGATTATCAGACATTAGTTATATTCTCATAAGGAGCAGACAACCCAGATGCCTCACACCTAGTTCACAATAGGGTTTGCCCTCCTATGAGAATTCAATGCCTGGGCTGATCTGACAGGAGGTGGCACTCAGGCGGTAATGAGAGCGATGGGCAGCGGCTGTAAATACATGTCCCTGGATTAACTAGGACTGTACCTATAGCATGCTAGACTGATGCAGAATTCTATAAAGAAAGCTGTCCACTATTGTCATGGATTCATTCCTGTGTTTCATACCTTCTTATTTCAGTTGAAGTTTGCAATCTCTCCGTTTTATTTTAGACTAACTCTCTAAGGCCCATAGAAGTATGGTAGAGCCACATGTACTATGGTAGCTTTTTTTTGTTTTTTAATGGAGAAACAAATTACGTTCTTCTAAACTGAACGTTCAGGGCTGTGTGACAGTGCTGTCAGGAGGATTGGAGAGTCTTCCACCAGCCACCTACCAGGTCTGGTTGGAACTACCCTGAGTACTAAGCCATTGGTACTCACTCCTGTGTCCTGATGTATGAAGAAAGGTGGGGAGGGAGCATTCTGACACGTCTTCCACGAGTCCGTGTTAGGACTGGAAGACAGCAGTGAATAGGAGAAAGGAGCTTCATCTTTGTTATTTTCTTGTTTCTTTTTCCTGATGCTGGTTTTGCCACCTCAGACTCTGTCCTAGCGTGAAGTGACAGGGACTTGTCTGGGGGGAAGCTTTGAAGGGGTTCTGGACGGCAAGTCCCAGAATGCTGTCTGTTCTAGAGTCTTCTAAGAGAAAGAATGGAAGAGTCCATAGGAATACCAGTTGGTGGCTTCCGGGAGCAACAGGGAAATCTTGAGTCTTAGGTCTGGGTCACTCTTCTCAGATTAGCCTGGTACTACCTGTAAAGATGTTACAGAACATGGATGTTTTCTGTTACCTTTGTAGGTTGCTAATGGATTAATGGGTTATGAATGACTTCCTAGCAAAGATGTATATTAAGAAGAGAGAGGGCCGGGCGCGGTGGCTCAAGCCTGTAATCCCAGCACTTTGGGAGGCTGAGGCGGGTGGATCACGAGGTCAAGAGGTCACCATCCTGGTCAACATGGTGAAACCCCGTCTCTACTAAAAATTACAAAAAATTAGCTGGGCATGGTGGCGCGTGCCTGTAATCCCAGCTACTCAGGAGGCTGAGGCAGGAGAATTGCCTGAACCCAGGGGGTGGAGGTTGCGGTGAGCCGAGATTGCGCCATTGCACTCCAGCCTGGGTAACAAGAGCGAAACTCCGTCTCAAAAAAAAAAAAAAAAAAAAAAAAAGAAGAGAGAGGCCGGGTGCAGTGGCTAGTGCCTGTAATCTCAGCACTTTGGGAGGCTGATATGGGTGGATCATTTGAGCCCAGGGATTCGAGACCAGCCTAGGCAATATGGTGAAACCCTGTCTCTACAAAAAATACAAAAAATTAGCTGGGCTCTGTGGTGCAAGCCTGTAGTCCCAGCAACTTGGGAGGCTCAGGTAGGAGAATCACCTGAGCCCAGGAAGTCGAGGCTGCAGTGAGCTGAGATTGCACCACTTCACTCCAGCCTAGGCAACCAGAGTGAGACCCTGTCTCAGAAAACAAAACCAAACAACACAAAAACTTACTTGACATGATCACTCTTTGTTTTAGAGCTTAAGTTCCTTCTTGACCTACAGTATAATTCTTGCAGATTTTATTTATTTATGTATTTATTTTAAACTTTTAGGTTCAGGGATACATGTGCAGGTTTGTTATATAGATAAACTCGTGTCATGAGGTTTGTTGTACAGATTGTTTCATCACCCTGGTACTAAGCCTACTACCCAATAGTTATTTTTCTGATCCTCTCCCTCCTCCTGCCCCCCCACCTTCAGGGAGGCCCCAGTTGTTCCCGTGTTTGTGTCCCTGTGTTTTCATCATTAGCTTCTACCTGTAAGTAAGAGCATGCCATATTTGGTTTTATGTTCCTGCGTTGTTTTGCTAAGGATAATGGTCTTCAGCTTCTTTCATCCATGTTCCCACAAAAGACATGATCTCATTCTTTTTTAAGGCTGCATAGAACTCGATGGCGTATATGTACCACATTTTCTTTATCTAATCTGCCACTGATGGGCATTTAGGTTGATTCCATGTCTTTACTTGTGAATAGTACTGCAGTGAACATTTGCATGCATGTGTCTTTATGGTAGAATGATTTGTATTTCTTTGGGTTTCCAACTTCTATAAGGAACAGAAACAAATTTATTAGAAAAAAATGAACAACCCCATTAAAAAGTGGAGAAAGGACAGAACAGACATTTTTCAAAAGAAGACGTATATGTGGCCAAAAGGCATATGAAAAAAAGCTCAATATCACTCATTAGAGAAATGCAAATCAAAACTGCTATGAGGGACCATCTCATACCTGTGAGAATGGCTATTACTAAAAAAATTAAAAAAATAACAGACGCTGGTGAAGTTGTGGAGAAAAGGGAATAGTTACTTATACACTATTGAGAGTGTAAATTAGTTCAACCATTGTGGAAAGCAGTGTGGCAATTCCTTGAAGACCTAAATTTGGAACTACTCAACCCAGCATCGTGCAAATTCACGTGTAAAGATGTTGGTTATATAAATAAGTTGACTTTTTTAGCTTTTGTTCATAGGGAACAAACTATAACATTTTATTGGAGAAGTGGAAACAGATAAATTTTGGTATGTATTTTTTTTTGGTTTGCAGTTGGAGACTGTTGAAAAAGTTTATGAAATCTTCATCTCAGATGATGTTGATCTTGTTTTGAGAAAGTCAGCTGCCGAACAGTTAGCTGTGATTATGCAAGGTAATATTTTCTAAGGAAAATAATTGCGGTACTGCTGATAATAGAATTTTAGATTGCTGTGTGGTACTGGCAGGGGTTGGCAACTATGGTTTATGGGCCAGATCCAGCCTCTGGCTTTTTTTTTTTTATCAGCCCTCAAGAATGGTTTTTGCATCTTTAGAGTTGTTAGCAAAACCAAACCAAAATCAAAGAATATGCCAGAGATCATACGTGTCTAGCAAAGCCTGGCAACATGTTTACTACCTGGTTCTTTACAGAAAAAGTTTGCTAACCCCTTGTTATTATTTGACCAATAAAATGCCATTTGACAGAATGATCTTCTTTTTAAAATACTGATAGGCTTCTGAAAGTGAAGTGCATGTTCCTTTCTCAATTGACCAAGTGCACGCATCATATTTTCAATTTGTACCATCTTGCTTAGGGGAATTAATCAAATAATACCTTTGTGACAGGTAAAATGAAAGTAGTACACTGTAGCTTTACCTTTCCTTAGAAAGTTTATTTTTAAAAACAACCAGTATAATACATGGTTAGCTTTGTTTGTAGTGTTATTCCATAGGCTTTTGTTCTTTGGGTTAGTTTTAAATTTTTCCCCATATGTGATATATGTACTTTAATATGTGTGAGAAATGATAACTTTGAGTTTACATAAAAAGATTTTTGTGGTTAGCACTTCTTGTCTTGACATTAGTGGAAACTGGGATGAGAGAGTAATTTGAAAAAGCATATTCCACATATTTGTAGTCTTAACAACAATAACACAGACTACAGAAAAGAAGACCAGAAAATGTGGAAAGCCCTGCTTACAAAAAGATCCAGAAAAACTCTCTTCAAGAGTATTCCTTCAATATTGTTAACATTCATAAATATACTGTGTAGTTTTTATATGCACTGTATTGGGAGGCAATGGAAAATTTTTAAAGTAGCAACTAAAGATTGTTACAGTGATAGCTACCACTTCAATATCAGTGTGTGTGTGTGTGTGTGTGTGTGTGTGTGTGTGTGTGTTTCCCTGTGAGAATATAGGATAAAATTTGTCTGCAAGTTGTTAAATACTTACAATGAATATATAAGAAATTACAGTTTTGGACTTTGGTAACTTTTGTGTGTGCCTGTGTGCATGCATATAAAATTTGTGTGTGTGTATACAAAAATGTTTTTATTACAAATGTAATACATGAATATATGTTTATTAAAAAGAAACTCATGTTCTCTAGAAATATATGGAGTATATTATAATGTCGTTTCTTTTATATTTGCCATTAATAGTTTGAGGTTAGAGATTTTTTTTCATTGATAGAAAAATGTTCATGTTGCAAGTCATATTTTACACATGAGCTTGTGGAGGATTATAAACATTTGAAGGTGATAAATTTGGAAGAGTCAATGACATAATATTTATAAGAAGACAGTTTGCCATGTATAAATATAAGGATTCATTTGTACACTTAAAATTCTAGTAGTTTTCAGAGTTAGAACTGGTTTACCTAATTCTTTTTTTATACTTTTGTCTTTTATATTACAGAAGTTAAAGTATGCTTTTTACTTAAACATTTTTAAATTGGACGTATGTATATAAAGTAAAAAGTTTCATTCTCTAATGTCAGCCTCAGGTCTAACTATTTTTAATAGTCTAAAAGTTGTGTGGATATCAGTTCTGTGTACTTTAAAATATGTTTTTAAAACTTCAAATTTTTTTTTAACTTTTAATAACCATTTTTTTGCTCTGCAGATATTAAAATGCATGCTGTGGTGAAAAAGTTACGCTTAACTGACAAAATAATTGAGTATTTAAATGAATGTGTGGGTCAAGATGGCAAGGTAAGGCTGATATGCTTCTAGGCATTGTTTGACCGGTTGTTTTTATTAATCTGATCTGAAATTGAACTGAGCAGAATTTGGATGAGTACTTGGATTTTAAATCCTAAGTAATGCCTCCTATCTCATTCTTTGTTTAAAATTCTAAAAGTGGAGTCGTTATAAAGGAAAACGAATCTTAAAATTTCCATAAGATAGGTAAGCAGAATTATACACAAAACTTACTTTCAGTGGAAAGTAATTCTCAGTATTTACTTACATTTTAGTTTCTCATAATTTTGATGAAAAAGCATAAAATTTAGAGTAAGATAATATTGTTATGTTTGATCTCATCTGATAATTGGCAAAAATAAAATAGCTGTGTTTTCCCTCCCGGACCAGGTTGTAGAATGTTTGGTACAGCCATGCCTGACACTCTTGAGGAAGCTTTTATGTGGCGATCCGGTCATGCGTGTTTCCCTCTCACAACAGTCTTCTGTTTTGATGCTGTTATTCAGAGGTAAATAAAAGAAAATCTACTCACAAGATTATTCTTCAGTTTTAAGTGTTTCTTCTTTAATTGTAAGTTTGCTTTTACATTTGCTTTTACTAATAGAGCAACAGCATTTCTTAGTGAACTTGCTACTAAAAACTAACCACAATGGACAACATTTAATATTTTTGTGGAAATTGCTTTATCATCCTGTTACTGAGAGGACCCTAGAGCTGAGAAAAGCTGAAACCTCTGATTGTTCTTTGCACCTTGACGTAGATGTCATCTGGTGCTCAGATAGTAAACTATTATCTATAATGAGAGAAGGCTGCAGCTGCTGTTATTACTGTCTTCTTTCTCATATCTCTTTCATCTTTCTTGTTTTGATTGTACCTTTGGATCTTGTACAATTTTGTCTGATTATTTCATTTGACAGGCATTAAGAGTATAGACTCAACTTGTGTGGGTGGACACTAGACCATCCTAAATGACTCTGAGCCTAAATTTATTACATTCTATACAGTATGGGTTTTAAAAACCCATTTTAATTTGATTCTAATTTAGTAAGGTGTTAGATGAACACACTTCATATACTTTTGTCCTGCTTTTCTTCTCTGTTTTTTTTTTTTTTTCCTCAATGGAGACCCTTGGTAATATTTTGTACTATTTTCTTTTTTAGAGGTTTAGGCCACTGCTTTTTAGTATTCTACAAGAGTCATGTTGACCAAGTATCTGAATGTGCTTCATCTTATCAGTTTTCAGGCATATAGGAGATAAGTGAGATTTATGTTCAAAATATGTTGTTAGAAATAGTTGTTTTATTTTAGAATATTTTTTCCTATTGGCTTCTGCTTGCCAAGTGTAAGATGCAGTTTATTTAAGTAGCAGCAGTAAAACCAGGTAAAGTTCTAAACAGATTCAGTGTGTTTAGACTCATAACATTTTGAGTAGACTGTAACATTTTTATAAGTTTGTGTGGACTGATCATCTCAAAGAGCAACAGTTATGAATTTTTAGTTTTGTTTAATCCTGTTAATAGTTGTCTTCCTATTAACCTCATTCAGTTGAATTTAGTTCCTAGTTTACCTTTTCATTTATAATTTTTATTTAAGTTATTCAAGCATGGAACTTACTATGAACACCTACTGGATTCAAAGGCACATTCTAAGGCAATATAATCTATACCCTTATCAGTATATCAGTTTTTCTATTTCATTGCTGTTTGTGGAAATTACTTTCAATGAGTCTGAGAATGAGTGTAGTATCTCCCATTAATGGATTTAGTTTCAGGAAAAGTTATTTTTATTTATTTATTTATTTTAGAGACAGAGTTTTACTCGTGTCACCCAGGCTGGAGAGTAGTGGCATGATCTTAGCTTACTGCAACCTCTGCCTCCTGGGTTCAAGCATTTCTCCTGCCTCAGCCTCCTGAGTAGCTGGGATTATAGGCGCCCGCCACCATGCCCAGGTTATTTTTGTATTTTTAGTAGAGGCTGGGTTTCTCCATGTTGGCCAGGCTGGTCTCGAACTCCTGACCTCAGGTGATCTACCCGCCTTGGTCTCCCAAAGTGCTGGGATTACACGCTTGAGCCACTGTGCCCAGCTGAAAAATTAATTTTTAACCAGCTGCTTAACAAGATTCCATTTCTCAGCAAATATTTATTATGCACATGCTATGTGCTAGGTACAATGCTAGACTTTTGGGTTATATTGATGAGCATGGGAAATGATCCTCATGGAGCTTACAGTAGAGTTGGAGATGTTGACAAGTAAATATACAATACAGCACAATAATACTTTTAGTCGGGGATTCCTGGTGCCAGAGGACATGCTGGTCAAATTGGTTGGTGAAAAGTGTCAGAGATTGTTTCTAGGAAATGTGGCATCTGAGATGGAATTTCGAAATGAATAGGGGATCAAATAGACAAGATCAACTTCTAGATAGAGGGAGCCATCATTATGTGTATATGAGTTGGATGTGTTTGAGATGGAGTTGGCTGGATTTGGGGAGTGTGGAGTGAAGAGAAATGATGGGATGAGGCAGGGAGGCAAGTTCGTGCAGGGCCTGGGAGGTCTTAATAAACAGCAGTGAGGAGCCATTTAAGGTTGTTAAACAGGGGAGTATGTGTTTCAGGAAGATTATTTCTGTGGCATGGATAACGGATCAAAGGAGCACAATAATTAAATAACTTCTCAGATAACATTGCTTGAATCATGAACTTTATGTTATGACAGACTTCTATACTGTATTTCAGTGTTAGAAATTAGCTTAGAAGTCATTTACTAAACCATCTCAGTGTGAGGTCTAGAGAGATTTAGCAACTTGGCCAAGGCTATAACCAGAAAATGGTTATTGGGTTATTTATGTATTTTTGCTACTGAGAAAGAATCCAAACTTCCTTAAGTTTGTTGGCTTTTGTTTTAAATAATCACAGACCTATACATCCTTATTGTAAAAATGCAGGTGATATAGAACTATCCAAATTCTACAAGTTTTCATTTTCTTCTCTTTCTTAATTTCCCCAAAGAAGACTGTACTGGTTATCATTAGGAATGTATTCTTCCAAATGATCTTTTCTACACACGCATGTAGTTTTCATTCTCTATATTACAGTGTTGTGTTCCTTCCTTTTTTCAACTGGAAATATAACTTGATTATCTTTCTTTCCATAATATTTCATGTGAGTATATATTCTTCAAAAAACCCTGGAAACTACTGCATTGGTGTTTCAGAATTTCAGTTTGCTGTATCACTGGGTATTTGTTTCAGATTTTTCATCATCTTTGTGCATACAGTATAATTGGAATTCCTGGGTCAAAGAGATTTTATAAGATAATGATTAAGTTCCTTTCCAAATCACTCTCACCAAAGGTGTTTAAAAATACTTATTTTCGTTATATTTGCCAATACTGAATATGTCGCATTAAATTTTTTTTAATCTTGTAGGTGAAAAAATATTATTATTTTATTTTCTTATTTTAGTTTTAGTGAAGTTGATTATCTTTTCATATATATTCAAATTTCTTAATCTTCCTATTTTCCTGTTGTATTTAATTTCTTTTCAGTGACTCATAGGGTTTTTTATTATAAGATAGACACAATCTTTATATTTGATTTTATGTGATTATTTTCTTTCAACTTTTCTATCCTTTTAAATGTATTTATTGTATCTTTAACCTTAAATAAGCAATATTTGATGGAAATATATAGAGCTTTTCTGTTATGGCAGTTGGGCAGTTTTTTTTATCATGTTCTAAAAGTAGGACATTCTCTAGTTCCAGATTGAAAACATATGCTCCTATACTTTCTCTGTGTTTCAAGTGTTGTTAAAAAAAATTAAATTTTAAATCAGACAAATACATTGCTGTAATTTCTTATTTATTTGGAAATGTTATGGTTTATTGATATGAAATGTCTATTTTATTAAAAGTCAATTTTTACATATTCTCTGTTTCTTTACTTTTTGGCTTATTGCTTTTTTAATCATGCCAATTACATAAGGATGATTTTCTTTTCCTGCAGTTAGGAAAAATTTCTTCTCTCAAAGCTTATTTCTTATTGCTGCTTCCCTGATTTTGCTGTCTATTACATTGTTAGTCCTGTGCAATAGGTACATCATATGTCTTCGTTTAGAATTTCATAGGTTTCAAGCATTGTTGTAGCATTGAGATCATTACAGAAGTGGAGACTGAGACTTAATGTTAAAGCACTTGACCAGGCCACTTAGCTAAGTAGTAAGGGGTAGAGCTGGCGTTATGGCTGTTAGTTCAGAGCACTTCCCTTTTCCATCATCTTGTCATAATAAGCAAACAGGAACCCAAACGACAACACAGCCCAAGCGTAACATTTTAAAGTCAAATCCAAGTTCTTTGATCACATGTTTGTAGTAAAGGGCAAAAGTTATAAGATCTCTTGGTGAGAAACTTTAGCTAGAATTACATGACTCAGCATAACGCTAGAGGGTGTATCAGTTTGTTTCTCTACCTAAAGTAGACAGTGTATAGCGAGTGTATCTGCAGGTGTGGTTCTTGGACCAGGAGCAGCTGCATCCTCTGAGAACTTATTAGAAATGCACACCACAGGCTCCACCCTAAGCCTATCCAATCAGAAACTGTTTTAACAAACCCTCCAGGCGATTCTTGTACATCCAAAAGTTTGAGTTGAGAGCCTGGGTTTTAGTGATGTCACCTTATCTGGGTTAACGTTGCATTTCTTTTCTCTTCAAATTAAGATATTTTAAATTTGAAGTTCATTCTTTATAGAAATACAAATATTTCATAAAGTTGTGCTTCTTTTTGTTCAGTTTCCTTAATATTTCACGAAGATTGTACTGTCGTGACTGAAGTTGGAGCACTATTTTGTCTTCTATTATTTGATGAAGTATCAAGAATGGATATGTGGTGAGATACAAGAATTTATAATTTATTTACTCTTAATAACTATCTCAGGTTATCTGATGTAGTCTTACAGCAATGTATGGAAATTTCTGATTTACGAGGCTTATGTTTTCCATGCTAGACATATGTGGTATGAATTTTGGTTTGAATAAATAGTATTCAAAAGCTAATTGGCTCAAAATATCACTCTGAAATTTTATTTTTAAACATTATTAAGTATAAAATTTAAAATTACTACAGTGATTTTTGTCTTTAAATCTACATTTTTAGTGCATTCCTTCAACCATTTGTTTTTTTCTTAATATTTAATTATTTTTTAAAAACTGGGAAGATGTTTAAGATGATAGAATATGATTAGCACTGATCTTGAGCAGGATCCACGGGAGGAGACACACAAAGGTCACCTGCCAGCATCACAGCTGGATTACATGAATTATGTTATGTGGAATTTTTTTTTAAAGCCTAATTTACTCTCAGGAAGTAGCAAACATGTTGTTACTGTACTAAATGGTAGACTCAGTTACAATGTTTGATTTCACTTGCAGTCAAGTGAGGTTAAGTTGTGTTTGTTAGACAAAACTTGATCTACTCAGTTGTTTCTTTGTTTTTTTATAAAATAGGTCTGTTAATCCTCCCAGTAAACCGTCTTTGCTATCAGTCTTCAGTTTGCCTGTTTCAGTTTTTAGAAGGTAAATAACTTATTTCTCTGATTTTCTTGAAGGATGAAGTGTTGTTATAGAAAGGGAAATCAAAATCTATAATTTCTCACAATTTTAATTTAGCATTTAAATCCCATAACTTGGGCTTTCATGGTTCCTTCACGATGGTGCTTTGAAGATTTCAGGAAGTATATCTCCACGCCACCAATTTTTAATTTTGATATTATTCAAATTTACAGGAAAGTTGAAAGAACTATACAGTGCATACCTATATGTCGTTCAGCCTAGAGTCATTAATTATTAACATATTTCTCTCTCCTAATATATATTTTTATTTATATTTAATTCTTTCTTGCCCACTAATTGGAAATAAGTTTCAGACATAAATTTACTCCCTTCCTATATATTCCAGCGTGAACACCCTCAAATTAAGGGCATTATTTTATATACCAGATACAATGTGATCATATCTAACAAGATTAAAAATAATTCTATAACATGATGTGGTTTCTCAAGTTATCCCCAAGTATCTTTTGTATATATCTTTTCATAATGCAATATCCAGTCAAGGTCCTGCATTGTGTTTGGTTTTCATGTCTCTTTAGATTTTTTTAAAAAGTAAATTGTCGTAGTGACATATGGCATACACGAAGTACATAAAGAATGTAAGTCGTAAGGGTACAGTCATGGAATTTTTCTGAGTCAACACACCTATTGATCTCATACAGATTAGGATGTAGACTATTACTAACAGACCAGAAATACTTTTTGTGCTTCCTCATTACCTTCTACCACCCCAAAATGTAATCTTATTTTAATTTCTGTTGCTATACATTATTTCTGCTGGTTTTTGAACTTTAAAAATATAGTACATTATTATGTTGGCATTTTGCTCAACTTGGAGAGGTTTGTCCATGTTGTTGCATGAAGCAATAGTTGGTTCGTTTTCACTGCTGTATAGTATTCTGTGTGAGAATATACAACACTTTTATTTACCACTCTAGTTGTAGACATCTGATTTGTTTTCTGTTTTGGGCTATTAATATTATCATACTGCTAAGAACATTCTTGAACTTGTGCATTGTTGGAATATAGGATATTTATGTTTAGCTTTGTGGTAGATACTACCCAACAGTATTACAAAGTGGTTGTGCTGATTTACATCCCACCAGCAGTATACAAGTACTGGCTGCCCGACATCCTCACCAGCCTTTGGTATTTTCATCACCAGTCTTAATGGTGTTTGGGTTTGGCTAAATAATAAAACTCACTGGACTGCAGTAGTCATGCTTAGAATGAGATCACATTTGTGGGTACTATGAGCTGTCCTGGCTTAGAAGCCTCATGTCCCAAATAGATAATGTTTTCTAGTAAGTATGTTGTAGGCATAGTTGCCAGGTTGCTTATAAGAGCCATAGCACTCAAGATTACTGAGAGCTGTGCCATCCCATCATGCACTTATAGTTTATTCCTAGATGTCCCAGTCCAGATGTGGGGAGTCATTTTCATCATAAGGAAAGCAGCTTAGTAAATTATTGACATTCCATACCTATCTGATTTTAGTGGGGAAAGGGACAGAGAGAGTTAGCTCAAGATCACATTTGTCCGTAGAGAGGAGAAAAGGTTTTATTACTCATTTACTCACAGTAATGTTGTCATTTTAAAAATTGTTGCCCATCTGATGGATGTATAGTGGTATCTCGGTGGTCATGATGGATTACCCTTTGCTTTTTATTATTTTCTTTTTTCTATGTTCTTCAGATTTAATTTGCTGTTTATTTTCTGACTTACTGGAGGATTGACCACTGATTACTAGCTGCTTTTTCATTTAAAGTTCTCAATATTCCTAAGTATGGCTTTTGGTGTATTCCACAAATTTGATATGCCATATTTTATTATTTAGTTCAAAATACTTTCTAATTTCATTGTGATTTTTTTTCTTTGATCCAAGGGTTGTTTAGTGTTACTGGGGGTTTAAGTGAAGATTTAGTGTATTAGGTTTTCTCGTTATTTTATTATTAATATTCAGCTTAATGTTGACATTCAGATTTTCCCCATGTCTACTTTACAGTATGTGTGTGAAGTTCCTTCAGGTAGCCGAGAGGCTTGTGAAAATCTCCACTGTGACATTGTCAGTTCTGGTGCTTTGTATTTTGAGGCTATGTAATTTAGTTTGTGTACATGCTTCTGGTGGGTTGTCTCTATCATTATGAAATTACCTCTTTATTTCTAGCAGTGCTTCATTATATAGAATTAACTTTACTTATTATTACTATGGCTTTGCCAGGTTTTATTTGGTTAGTGGTCAGCATGATATGTATTTTCCCATCCTTGTAGTTTTAGCTGTTCTGTATCCTTAAATTTAAGTGTTTTTTTTTTTTTTTTTTAAGAAGTATGTTTTTGGTCCAATCTGACAATATTTACAGTTTAGATGGAATATTTTAATGCATTTTACATTTACTAGGATTACTAATTTTTTGAATACAGATTATTAGCTTGCTATTTTCTATTTGTTCAATGTAGTTTTTTTCTTTCTTTTTTCTCTCCAGCTTTTCTTGATTAATTTTTAAAATTAGTCCAATTTTTTCAGCTGTTAACTTGTATTCTGTTCTATTCTATTCTGTTCTGTTCTATTCTATTCATTTGTAGCAATTGGGATCTTGCTTTGTTGCCCAGGTTAGTGTTGAACTCCTAGCTTCAAACAATTCTCCCACCTCAGCCTCCCAAAAGTGTTGGGATTACAGGTGTGAGTCACCGTGCCCAGCCAAGTATTCTTCTATATACATTATTTCTATATATTCTTTTATATAGATGATTATTATTTTATAATCAAGACATTATAATTTATACTTCCTCGACTGCAAGCTAGTATTTTTTACCACATTCAAGACAATGCAAGGACCTTAGATTGCATTAACTCCATTTATTTGCTCTTCTTTTTTTCTCCTATTTAAATTCTATACATATTTTAAATTTTAGAAGATGTTATTATAATTATTTTATGCAATAAATACTCATTTAGATTTGTGTGTATACCTTGGTCGTTTCTGTTATCTTTTATTCTTTTTTTGGTTTTTCTATCTCCATCTGAGAATTTTTTTTTTTGAAGAGGTTTTTATTATTTAATGTAGTACACTTACATTAGCAATGATTTTTGTTCAGTTTTCTTTTTAATTTAAACCTTTTTTCTGTTTTAAACAACGTTTTCACTAGGCATAGAATTCTAGGTTGGCAGTTGGAGTCCATTTTTGGTTGGAACGTTGGCTGTCAGTTTTATTGTTGCTTCTTTGAAGGAACTGTGTTCCCCATTCCTTTAGGAGTTCCTTCAACTGTATTCCACAGCACTCTGCTTGCTTGCTTATTTATTTGGAGGGATTTATTTTTATGGATACACAATATTACATATTTATGGAGTGCATGTGACATTTTGATATAAGCTTACAATGTATAATGATAAAATCAGTAATTAAGATGTCCGTCACCTCTAACATTTATCAATTCTGTGTTAGGAACATTTCAGATCTGCTCTTGTAGTTATTTTGAAATATACAACAAATTACTATTAACTATTGTTACCCTAGTGTGCTAGTGAACACTAGATCTTATTTCTTCTATTCCTTCTATCTAAATTTTTATGTACCCATTAGCCATCCCTTCTTAATTCTGCTCTTCCCCACCACTCTTTCAGCCTATGGTAATCATCATTCTACTCTTCATCTTCATGAGCTCAATTTTTTTTTTTTTTTTAAAGCACTCACATATAAAGGAGAACCGGTGATATTTGTTTTTCTGTGCCTGGATTATTTCAGTTAACATAATGACTTCCAGTTTCATCCATCCGTGTTGTTGAATATGACAGGATTTCATTCTTTTTTATGTTGGAATCATACTCTATTGTGTATGTGTACCACATTTTTTTAATCTGTTCATCTATTGGTGGACTCTTAGATAGATTCCATATCTTGGTTATTGTGAATAGTGCTGCAATAAACATGGAATGTAAATATCTCTTTGACATACTGATTTTCTTTCTTTTGGAGATATATATATAATCCAGCAGTGGGATTGCTGGATCATATGTAGGTTCTGTTTTTAGTTTTCTTGAGGAACTCCATACTGTTTCCAATAGTGGCTGTACTAATTTACATTTCCACTAACAGTATGAGCATTCTCCTTCCTCCACATCCTTGCCAGCATCTGTTAGTTTTTTGTCTTTTTGATAAAAGCCTTTTCAATCAGGGCGAGATGATATTTCATTGTAGTTCATCAGTATTTCTCTGATGATTGGTAATGTTGAACATTTTTTCATATACCTGTTGGTCATTTGTATGTCTTCATTTAAGAAGTGTCTATTCAGATCTTTTGTCCAGTTTTTAATTGGATTATTATAATTTTGCGTTAGTTGTTAAAGTTCATTATATATTTTGGTTGTTAATCTTTTGTCAATTGAATAGTTTGCAAATATTTTCTCTTAATCTATAAGGGACTCTTCACTTTGTTGACTGTTTTCTTTGCTATGCAGAAGCTTTTTAGCTTGATGTGTTTATTTTTGCTTTACTTGCCTGTTTATTTTGTTATTTGCTTGCCATTTGTTTATTTTTGCTTTGCTTGCCTGTGTTTTTGAGGTCTTACTCAATAAATCTTTGCCCAGGCCAATGTCCTGACGCATTTCTCTAATGTTTTCTTCTAGTAGTTTCATGGTTTCAGGTCTCACATTTAAGTCTGTAATTCGTTTCGATTTGATTTTTGTATGTGGTGAGAGATAGAGGTCTAGTTTTATTTTTCTGCCAGTTTTCTGAGTACCATTTGTTGAAGAGACGGTTCTTTCCCCAAAGTATGTTCTTGGTGCTTTTGTTGAAAGTTGACTAAATGTGCAGATTTATTTCTGCGTTCTTTATTCTGGTTCATTGGTCTGTGTGTCTTTTTTTATACTAGTATCATGCTGTTTTGATTACTATAGCTTTGTAGCATAATTCGAAGTTAGGCACTGTGATGCCTTCGTCTTTGTTCTTTTTGCTCAGGATTCTTTTGGCTATTTAGGATCATGTTTTTTTCCATATACATTTTTAAAATTTCTTTTGTTCCTTCTAGGATGCAAATTTACATGCATGTTAGATTATTTCGCCATGTTAAAGGGAAAATGAGATAAAATATACATTCATGTGTCTTTATGGTAGAACAAAATTAACTTTGGTTTAAGAGATATTGCTGCTGAATCTGTTTTTATTTCTAAACATATATCTTGATTCTTGTTGAATTTATTGATGATGAAACTGTTCTCAAGTGAAAATAGTAAGTTTGAGTTCAGTCACTTTGTGACCCCTGTGATCATAGGCAATTCATTTGTCAGCTTTAAGCCTCATTCTGATCATTTGTAAAATAGGTATTATAGTGCCATATGTGTAACTGTGAATGATTGATACATAATAAGCAGTGTTTGGCATGAAGTAGATACCAGCGTTTTAGCTGAATGCCTTTTATGTTAGGTTCACTGTATTCATGGGCCCTGACTTCAAGGAACATTAGTTATCTCCACAACAACTGTAATATAGCATAGAATGGGGTAAGTTCTCAAGAAAGGGGTTAAGTATTCTGGGGAATTTAGAGGAGATGGAAAGATTGATCGAAATACTGTATAAATTATGATAACTGTTTAAAATAGGGACTACGAGAAATCTTTGCATTATTGTGGGTTGGGAGGCATTGAACTAGCCCTCAATTGTGGCTCATCCTTTTGAGTAGCATTTAAGAATTTGAAAGTTTGTAATTGTTTGTACCCATTTCCTTTAGGTATCATCTGCCTGTTCATGTAATCGGACATCATGCTGTGAGTCCTTACTCCATAGTTTTGCCCTTATCTTCTGATTGTTTGGCCTTGAAGCCGGTGTCAGATATGCTGAGAATGGCTTGGAACCTGTCATGGTATCATGGGAGTGATAATCTGTTGAAACAAATGAACTCTGAAACTAAAACACAAGAGTAAGCGCTCATATTAGTTGAAAAAGTATTTGCAATTAATTAATTGTGATTAATTAGTTAGGTTTTACTTTTTCCTTAGGTCCAGTACCTGTTACCTTGATGTCATCTGATTCTGCCTTTTAGCAGTTGTAATTTTTACTTTAAAGATTACATGTATTTATTACTTTTCACAATCTATCATAAAAGAAAATTTTAAATGAGAAAACATTTTACTCTGTGCTCTTTTAGAGATTATTTAAAGTCTGATTTGTTCATAGATGTGAATCACTAGGAAAAGGTTCTGGATTAGAATAAAATCTTAGGAAGTATATACATGAGTGTTATTGCTGTGATGGTGATGACTTTTGAGTATCTTAATATTCTAATCTGTCAGTCTTATGTGAATAAAATTTTTTTTAAGGAGGAAAAGTCAATATAAACATTTGTGATGCCACTGTAAAATTCTAATATTGACAGATACATATCAGTTTTCTTTTGGCTGTAAGTCAATCTTTTATTAAAAGAAAATGAAGATGAAACAACTTTTGGGAGAGTTTATAATAGAAATAAATGTGAGCTTTCATTTAAATAGCTTTATGTTCCTCTTTCTTTTTCTTCTTTTTGTCTAGATTTTTGGATACATTGAAGTTATCCGCAGAGGACATCCTCACTCTGAAGATAACACACATGGCTAGTGGGCTGCAGGACTGCCTCCATTCCATTGTTCAGGCTGCAACCCACAGAGAAGTTAGGGCTGCTGTCACTAGGATGAGTTTTTATCTTCTGAATGACAGATTGTCTTTAAAGGGTGGCCCTGGTTCGTGTGGGGCTACCTTGAAGTCCTTGGCTTGGCACACCGTGCTGAACAGGTCAGTGTGAGGTCAAGGCTGCCAGTTTCAAAGACCTGGATAGTATTGTATTGTGTTCATCTCCAATTCTTTGAAGATAAGAGTCTATGCCCTTACTGTTGCTATCATAGAAAAACTCCAGGATTTTTATCATCTGTAATAGCCAAAGAGAAATTTTTAGTCATTGCATTGTTGAGGGGATTATTAATAAACTTACAACAATTTATTATCCTTAGAAAACTTTACCTCACAAAAGTAAATAATGAGGATAAGACATGGATGAAACAAATTGAATGTTTGTTTCTATCCATATTATAAATGAGTTGAGACATCAGTGAATTAATTTTTCTTTTTACTCCGAATTTCACAAAGTTGATTGCCATGTGGAAGTTCTTTATAGCAGTTATTGAGAAGGCTCTAGCTTGTCAGTTTAACATGCTTAGATCGTGGCAGATGGCTGCATTTGTTGATTATTTTAACAGTCCAACATTAATTTATGTGTATGTTTTTATATGTATATGCTAACACACAAACATACTATTGTATGTATCTAATGTATCTAATATCATTTTGGAAACTTTTTTTTTTTGAGTCGAAGTTTTGCTCTTGTTACCCAGGCTGGAGTGCAATGGCGCAATCTCAGCTCACCGCAACCTCCACCTCCTGGGTTCAGGCCATTCTCCTGCCTCAGCCTCCTGAGTAGCTGGGACTACAGGCACACGCCACCGTGCCCAGCTATTTTTTTGTATTTTTAGTAGAGACGGGGTTTCACCATGTTGACCAGGATGGTCTCGATCTCTTGACCTCGTGATCCGCTTGCCTCAGCCTCCCAAAGTGCTGGGATTACAGGCATGAGCCACCATAGTCATGATTTAGTAGGATCACAAGTTGTTAGAGGTATCTAGAATCTTCTTTCAACTAGCTTCTGTTGTTTTGCCTGTTTAATGTCTCTCTACCCCTTTCCTAGTAAAAGTCCTATTGCTACTGTTTTTCACCATTTTTACTGAACTACAGAATGACTAGTGAATTGGTTTTTCTGCTTTTTACCTTATGCCACTCATTTATGTTGCTTTCTGAATGATCCTTCTAAAATACATGACACCTGTGGATTCTTCTCCATGGTGTGCTAGATATTAATAGAATTCAAATCCCTTTGCATGCTGTAGAAAGTTCTTTTTGATCTGCCACTTGCCTACCTTTTCGGTTTCATTTTCCATGTCTCTAACATACATTGTGTTTCTGTGAAGTACAAATATTGGGGTTTTTGGAAACTGCTGGATATTTTAGGGCATAAACCTCCATTTTATACTGCCTCGCTTTTACCTACTTAACTCCCCGGTTGTGAATGTCTACTCCTCCTTGAGCTCCAAGGTCTTCTTCCTCTGTAACGTATGTGGAATTGCAGTTACCATAATTGTCAGGTGGCTTTCCTGCATTACTTTTTACAGTGGTTTAAATATTTGTTTTCTCATATGCCTTGGGTTTTTTATATTCCTTTTTATATCCCTCACCTATGGCATAAGTCCTAGTATATAGCTGACTCCTAATAAATGTGGAGTGGATGAGTTGGAGAGACCTTAGAGCTCATTTAGTCCAGCTGTGTACTTGGTGAATTCCCTTCTGTGTATCCCTGTCAAGTGGCCATGTGACCTCAGCATGGATACCTCCTTTGAAGGATACTCATGCTGTTTCTGAGCTGTGATTATTAGTGAGTTTTTGCTCTTTTGAACTGTACCTGGTCATTTCTACCTATTATTCTGTCCTTTAAACTCATAGTATAAATACTGTCTTCACACGTGACAACTCTTCATTTAAATATAACCATATTTCTTCTCTATTCCCCCCACCCTGCTTTAAATGGTTTGGTCTTTTAGATATCCTTTAAAAGCCACAGTGTCCAGACTTCTCATTTGTTTATGCCATTTTTCAAGGGTATTGTGTTTCTTAGGACTTTCCCTGAGATCTGGACATGATGCCTTACATAGGATGTGGTACTATGGCATGGGGTGAACAAGAAGAAAGGGGCCACTGTCTGTCTTTTCCTACTGCTTTTCCATCATTCAGCAAACATTTATTGATCACTTATGAGATGTCACTCTTGTAGGAAATGTAGCAATCAGCAAAATTGATAGGGTCCTGCTTTCATGGAACGTGCAATTAAGACAGCTAAAAGTATAATCAAAAGTAGGAATGTTTCTCAGCAGACTATTATGAAAGGGGAGTACCTATCTCTCTTCAGTAGAGAAAAAGTGGTTCAGAGAATGAAGTTTAAGCCAAGGCATAACAGGTAGGAGGATGTTAAACACCTTTGGGATTGGAAGCAGAAAAGATGTTCTCTCTTACATATGCAATCTAAAAACGTCCAATTCATCGAAGTAGAGAGTAGAATGGTTTACCAGAGGCAAGTGGCAGGGGCGTGGGTAGAGGAAGGGGAGGAGAATAAAGAAAGGGTAGAGAAATGTTGGTGAAAGGGTGCGAAATTGTAGTTAGACAAGAGGAATAAGTTCTGGTGATCTATTATAGCATAATGACTCTAGTTAATAATGTGTATTTCAAAATAGCTAAAAGAATGGATGTTAAATGTTCTCACCACAAAAAAAATTTGCGGTGATGGGTATGTTAATTAGCCTGATTCTGTCATTCCACAATATATAAATGTGTCAGAACACTGCATTGTACCCTAAGGATATATACAATTATTATTTCTTAAAAATAAAACAAATAAGTGGGATATAGTTTGGTGCATGTTATGTGGCAGAATTTTGATACTTTGAATCTGTAAATGGGCTGGGCATGGTGGTGCATGCCTGTAGTCCCAGCACTTTGTTAGGCCAAGGTAGGACAATCACCTGAGATCAGGAGTTTGAGACCAGCCTGGTCAACATGGTGAAATCCTATCTGAAAAATGTAAGAAAGAGCTGGGCATAGTGGTATGTGCCTGTAATCCCAGCTACTCAGGAGGCTGAGGCAGGAGAAGCACTTGAGCCCGGGAGGTGGAGGTGATAGTGAGCCGAGATTGCGCCATTGCACTCCATCCAGCATGGGCAACAAGAGTGAAACTCTGTCTCAAAAAAAAAAAGTCCATAAATGGATAACCGCTTACGGACTATATTATTTCTTCTCTAGAGTAAAATGCCATATTCAACAAATACTATAAAAATTAAATTAAAAAAAATATGCCAAAGGGATAAGACCCCGAGTTAGGAAAGAGTGTCTTGTGTCTTCAGGAGTCATTGAAAAGAGGATAGTACACTTGGATTTAAAGGATATGAGGGTGGATATAAAATGGGGTTACAGAGGTGATATTTTCATGTTAACACTGGATATCATGGAATACTCCTTATAATCCTTATGATTGTTAAATCATAGCTCTTCCAAAGATCTATGGTTGTTAAATTCATCTGTTCATTCCATTCTTTCAGAGTATTTTTCTAATCTCAGTTTTTATAATCTTACTCACTTGCTGTCCTACTCAGCAGAATGTCATTTTGGGGATGTGGGAATTTTAAATAAAAAATCATAATGAGACAAACACGACATTACTAAGAAATACAGCATTTATATATCCCTGGTGTTGGACTGCTTGGTTTAGTATTCATGTTTTAAAACTTGCTAGCCGTGTGACTGTGAAGAAACGACTTAACCATATTTTTGCTTGAGTCTTCTTGTGTTTGAAATAGAGGTACCAACTTCATACTGTTGTTATTAAGTTTGGTAAATATCCTGCTATTAGACCGTATGCTGGCACAAGGTTGGTGCTCAATAAATGCTGCATATTATGATTAGTATTATTGTCACTCTTATTAACATTTTGATGCAATTGCTTTAGATTTATAAAAAATAAAACATTACAGATAAAATTGAATCTTATTGTATGTCTTCCTGATTGCCTTTTTAAAAAACAATTTTCCAGATTGCTCCCTTTTAAATAAAAGTTTGTCTATTAATCTTTTAGCTCTCTTATACCAGTTTTTTTTTTAAATAAATCTCAGAAGATTGGCTGATATCCTTTCACTCCAAACTTACAAAGAAATTTCATCCTAGATCTACCTTCACTGTTTTCCTTGCCTGTTAAAACTCTGGCAGCATCCTTGCAGGACCTTTTTTCTCTCACTTTATTACTTACTCTCTTGTGGTACTGTTTTGAAGTACTAATTCTTCTTATCAGTGGAATATGGCATTCCCATTATGAAAAAGCGAGTTTCATTGGACAGTTAGAGGAAGTATATTTCTCCTTGGTATTTTTTGGTACTTTTTCTGAATTTGTTATTTTTCCTCTTCTGATACTTGTCACTTCTAGTTATTTTAGTTAGTTACTTGTCCGCATGTTTTTTCCTGCTATAAGCTCAGGTTTTTGGAGGCAGATACCCGGTTTGTTTCAACTTTGCGTTTTTCAAAGCATTTAGAACAGTATCTCATAAAATAGCATCCTCACAAGACACTTGTTAAAACCACATATCCATGATAAACAGTGGTAATATATATTTTAAAGAACTAGAAACCATGATTATTGTCTTTTCATTATAGGTTTTTACAAGTGCTTCCTGCTTCCACTGAAGATGAGAAACTGCTAATAGATATCATACATTTTTTAAATAAATTAATAAAAGAACAAAGAAAAAATTCTTCATTGGAACTTCTAAACTGGATTCTAGAATTACTTCTTAGACATGTAAGTGTTGTTAAAGAATTTGGATTTTAAATTTGAGAAGTAGCTTATCTGTAGAAATCAATAACATTATATTATTAGATATTTCTCCTAATGTCAGTCCTCCCCAATCCTCCCACCCCCTGCTAGCCCTCCTGTAACCCTCCTACCCCTGACAGCCTCCGATGTGTGATGTTTCCCTCCCTGTGTCCATGTGTTCTCATTGTCCAACACCATTTATGAGTGAGAGCATGTGGTGTTTGGTTTTCTGTTCTTGTGTCAGTTTGCTGAGAATGATGGTTTCCAGCTGCATCCATGTCCCTGAAAAGAACATGAACTCATCCTTTTTTATGGCTGCATAGCATTCCATGGTGTATATGTGCCACATTTTCTTTATCCAGTCTATCATTGATGGGCACTTGGGTTGGTTCCAAGTCTTTGCTATTGTGAACAGTGCTGCAATAAACATGCATGCATGTGTCTTTATGATAGAATGATTTATAATCCTTTGGGTACATACCCAGTAATGGGATTGCTGGGTCAAATGGTATTTCTAGTTCTAGGTCCTTGAGAAATCCCCACACCGTCTTCCACAGTGGTTGAAGTAATTTACACTCCCAACAACCTGTAAATGTGTTCCTATTTCTCCACATCCTCTCCAGCATCTGTTGTCTCCAGATTTTTTAATGATCACCGTTTTTACTGGTGTGAGATGGTATCTTAATGTGGTTTTGATTTGCATTTCTCTAATGACCAGTGATGCTGAGCTTTTTTTCATATGTTTCTTGGCCACATAAATATCTTCTTTTGAAAAGTGTCTGTTCATATCCTTTGCCCACTTTTTGATGGGGTTGTTTTTTTCTTCCAAATTTGTTTAAGTTCTTTATTGATTCTGATTATTAGCCCTTTATCAGATAGGTAGATTGCAAAAATTTTTTCCCATTTGATTGGTTGCCAGTTCACTCTAATGATAGGTTCTTTTGCTATGTAGAAGCTCTTAAGTTTAATTAGGTCCCATTTGTCTATTTTGGCTTTTGTTGTGATTGCTTTTGGTGTTTTAGTCATGAAGTCCTTGCCTATGCCTATGTCCTGAATGGTATTGCCTAAGTTTTCTTCTAGGGTTTTTATGGTGTTAGGTTTTATATTTCAATTTTTAATCCATCTGGAGTTAATTTTTGTGTAAGATGTAAGGAAGGGGTCCAGTTTCAGCTTTCTACATATGTTCAGCTGGTTTTCCCAACACCATTTGTTAAATAGTGAATCCTTTCCCCACTGCTTGTTTTGTCAGACTTGTCAAAGATTAGATGGTTGTAGATGTATTGTGTTACTTCTGAATCTACTGTTCTGTTCCATTGGTCTGTATCTCTGTTTTGGTTCTAGTACTATGCTGTTTTGATTACTGTAGCTTTGTAGTGTAGCTTGAAGTCAGGTAATGTGATGCCTCCAGCTTTTTTATTTTTCTTCTTAGGATTGTCTTAGCTATGCAGGCTCTTTTTTTGGTTCCATATGAAGTTTAAGGAGTTTTTTTCCAATTCTGTGAAGAAAGTCATTGGTAGCTTGATGGGAATAGCATTGAATCTATAAATTACTTTGGGCAGTATGGCCGTTTTCATGATATTGATTCTTCATAACCATGAGCATGGAATGTTTTTCCATCTGTTTGTGTCTTCTCTTATTTCCTTGAGCAGTGGTTTCTAGTTCTCCTTGAAGAGATCCTTCACATCCCTTGTTATTTGTATTCCTTGGTATTTTATTCTCTTTGTAGCAAATCATGGGAGTTCACTCATGATTTGGCTCTCTGTTTGTCTGTTATTGGTGTATAGGAATGCTTGTGATTTTTGCACACTGATTTTTTTGTCCTGAGACTTTGCTGAAGTTGCTTATCAGCTTAGGGAGATTTTGGGATGAGACAATGGGTTTTTAAAATATACAATCATGCCATCTGCAAACAGGGACACTTTGATGTCCTTTCTTCCTGTTAGAATATGCTTTATTTCTTTTTCTTGCCTCATGGCCCTAGCCAGAATTTTCAATACCATGTTCAATAGGAGTGGTGAGAGAGGGCATCCTTGTCTTGTACCAGTTTTCAAAGGGAATGCTTCCAGTTTTTGCCCATTTGGTGTGATATTGGCTGTGGATATATCATAAATAGCTTTTATCATTTTGAGATATAGTGAATGATCTTTTTATTGTGCTCTTAGTTTCAGTTTGCTGGTATTTACTAGAGGACTTTTATATCTATATTTATCAGGGATATTAGCCTGTAATTTTCTTTTCTTGCAGTGCCCTTGTCTGACTTTGGTATCAGTGGAATCCTGCCATCATAAAATGAGTTTGGAATTATTTCTCTTCATTTGTTTTTAGAACAGTATATAGATTAGTATTAATTCTTCTTTAAATGTTTGGTAGAATTCAGCAGTGAAGCCATCAATCAGGTCTTGGGATTTTCTTTTCTGAAAGACTTATTACTGATTTAATCTCATTGTCATCGGTCTATTCCAATTTTCTGTTTCTTCCTGATTTAACCTTGGTAGCTCTGTGTGTCTAGGATTTTTTTCCATTTGGTTGTCCAATTTATTGGCATGAAATTGTCCATAATTGTCTTATGATATCTTATATTTCTGTGGTATCAGTTGTAATGTCTGCTCTTTTGCTTCTCATTTTATTTGTCTTTTTTTAATTCTACTAGCAAAAGGTTTGTCAATTTTTTTAATCTCCAAATTTCAATTCTTGCTTCTGTTGATCTTTTCTATTGTTTTTCCAGTTCCTACTTCATTTGTATCTGTCCTGATCTTCATTATTTTCTTACTTTTTACTAAGTTTTGGCTTTATTTATTCTTTTTCTAGTTCTTTGAGGTTGTTTACCTGACATCTCTTTTTTTTGATGTAAATGTTTATTGTTATATATGCCCTTCTTAGACCTGCTCTGCTGCATTCCATAAGTTTTGGTTGGTTTTGTGTTCATTTTTGTTTGTTCAAGACACTTTACAATTTACATTTTAGCTTTTGCTTTGATCCATTGTTTGTTCAGCAGTGTGCTGCTTAGTTTCTATGGATATTTTTACTATTCCAGAATTCCATCTTTTGTTGACTTCTGGTTTATTATTATTATGATCAGAAACGATGCTAAATATGACTTCAATCTTGTTACATTTGTTAAGATGACTTCAATCTTGTTACATTTGTTAAGATTTGTAACACCATACATTTAAATTACTGTTAATTTTGTAGTATGTCATATGTGTTGATGTATATTTTATAATGTATTCATAGTTATGAAATTAAAATGAAATTCCTACAAGACTCTAGATGATTATACTATAACTTTAATGCAGTTTTTGAAAAGGATTTTTGGTATAATTATATTTACTTACTTGACTTTGTGTGGTATTAAACCTTTCTTTGCAAAGCTTCTACTTTATCTCGGGTATTATCACCACAAGTGTTATAAATAATAATACTTTTAAGATTGCACAAAAGTGAACTTAAGTATTTACTGTCAGGAGGGTTTACTCCCTAAATATTATGCTACAAGATAAATTAATATGTGTTGTAGAACTACCAATGTTTAAGATAAAGGGAACCTGAAAATAGAAAATCAAGTACCTTTTAAAGTTCATCCTTTTCAGTGAGTAAAATAAGTAAGAAATGATTTAAGAAGTTTAGTAAAATAACATTTCAAAGTAAATTATTTTGAATGTATGGACATACATTAAAAGATATTACAATGGCTGTGGTTGCAAAAACAATATGAGGCAGATATTAATGCCTGATTAGTCAGAAGAATGCTAAGAAGAAGTGAAAAGAAAAATCACCTAACTTCCTGAGGTAAGATTTAGGGAATTTTCTCTTGTGAAAATTTTTTTTATGTGTTTTATCAAGACATTCATTTATTATAAGCATATTATAATTCCTAGGCAATTTATGATTTAAAAATTTTTTTATAGTTAAAATTTTTTATGATCTTTTTAAATATGATATTTTGTTAGTATGTAATAATCTAGAAATGCTGATTTTGAATATCTTTCTTTTCAGAATGCATTTTTGATGGAAAATCATAATTCATAAATGTGAAGCTGTTAGTTTTTTTTCTTCTTTTGTGAAGCTCTACAGAACTGTATAGCATACATATTTTCCTTGGCTGACTTTCCCATAACAGGCTCATGTGCACTCAGACTTTATTGAGGGCCTTGCACATCCTTTCGGCATAGCTTGCTGATGGATGTAAAATTGGATATGATGAGTGGTAACAGTGTGTGCATAAAGAAAATGAGCCATCATTATAGAAATTGTTGCCTTTAGAGGTCAACAGTGACAAAATAATGGCGCAAGTAGTTGGTTTAAAATTAGGATTGAATACTAATGTCTAAAGACAAAAACTTCAGATATGATTAAGCACTTGACATCTGTAAGCATCAGTAGAGATCTCTTATTCTACTCTGTTGTACTTGAGAAATGGTAATTCACCTTCTATTTTAGAACTGGTGTTGCTAAGGTTCAGTGAATTTTAATGTTACCATGTATGTCAAAGATAAAAAGAGAAAAACATCTCAATAATCTTCAAGCAGAAACAAGTTATTAATAGGATGAGATTCTGTGGGAGAATCTTAATTTTATGTATACACATACTGTATCAGTATGTTCATATATTAATAGTAGCTTCTACTTAATTTTTATCAGCATATCAGAATTAATCATTTCTGATAACGGAATTATGTTTTATCAAGATGGAGTCTGCATCTTGGCATAAGCAGTTTGTTCATTTTGTCAGCAGTTTTGAGCGTCAGAAGGCATGTGAGTGGGAGTCAGCTTTTGGATATTCAGGACTCAACACTATAGAAAATGTCTTCATTTTTATGACTTTACTAAAGTATGGATTTTGATTCTTTTGTTCATGCATGAAACATAAAAGTTGCAGTTATGTCTTGTGCAATTTTAATTTATCCGAAGACATATATAGCTTAAGATAAAAAAAAGGAAAAATACTGTTTAGATGTTAAAACACTGTAAAATAAGAGCAAAATGTCTCTACTAAATAGTTTCTGAAAGCTCTCAGTTATATTATTTATAACTGTATGTATCTCTATATGTTGCTACAAGCAATTTAGAGGTTTTGTTACATATTTTCATTTCTTTTCCCTAAAGAGACTGCAATTAATTTTGAATTGAGTTCTCTGTAGGTGAAGGATTTTATAAGAACAGTAATTACATTTTGATTTTATCTCTTTTTGTATGTTGTTGTATGCACTAGTGATCTGACACTGTGCTGAGGATGGAATATTAACCAGCTTTGGAGTAAGATACTTCTTGCTGTGCCTTTGTCTATGACTTAGACAGTTATTTAACCTCAATATACATCTGTGTTCCTATGTGTAAAACAGGAATGAAAATGCAAATCTTCAAGTTTAGTCAAAAAGTTAAATGAAAATTATTATCTTTTTAGCACAGTGCCTGATACTAATCACAGATGATTAATAAATGTCCCATATATCTATTAATGTTTCTGATTAGTGTAACATTTTCTTTCTCAATATTATTAGAAGTAATCCTTTGATATTTCTTTAGCTATGTATTTTTTTTTGGCTGGGAAAAGAGAAATTTTAGAAAGCACTAGTATAATGATCACATATCATTGGCCTGGGTGCTCTGGGTCTTTTCCCATTCTGTGTAATTGTATGTACTGGTACATTTTTTACAGGGACAATTTGGCAATATATATCAAAAAAGATTGAAAGTATAATATTTTGATTTAGTAATTTCATTGTGGAATTCATATGTAAGGTAAAATCCAACTTGAGTACACTGTGTGTTGCAGCTTAGTGAAATTATGCATCATTGATTATTCAGGAGTTAATGTGGTAAATCCTTATTGTTGAAAAACAATCAGATATTAAACTAATATTTTGGCAGAAATATTGTTAATAACAGGGAGTAGGGAAAAATGGTTACAGTAGTGAATTTTTTCACTTGATGCGGGTTTGTGAAAATGTATAGTTTTAATTCTGTTTATATTCTCAGAAAAAAAAGTGGTGTTATATACCAATATATAATAGTGGCAATTTCTATGTGGCATGATTATGTGTGGTATTGTTTTTCTCATCGTTTTTTTCTGTTTTCTATCATAAAGATGCTTTTCTTTTGTTGAGAACGTATTAAACATCTTTTGAATTTAGAACATCTCTACTAATACAGTAAAGGCCCACACCTACTAGTTAGGTAGTATAACTCATAGTTAATCTAGAATGTGGTTAGCAACAAAAACCTTTATAGGAAACAGTATGTAGTTCCATTAGTAAATATATTTTTTACAAATTTCATTTTTTTAGAGTGCAAACCCACTGTTGGACCTCCTGGTTCTGACAGAGTCACAGGCACGAGAAGAGTCAGATGATATCCGGACTGCTGTCAGGCAACAACTTCAGAAAGAACTGATTGCTCTTTTTGATACCTTGCTGCTCAATTTCATGGATATTACTGACAGGTACCATTTGTAACATTGAAGGTTTAGGTGCATTAATATAGAACCTGATTTTTCTTTGAATTTCAAAGTTTGTACTGCTTTCAAATTAAGAAATACTTCTTTCAAATACTTAAGTAACAATCAGTTAAAGTATTCTGTTTGTTTTTGCTTCAGTTGAATCTGTTACAGCCTGATTATACATGCTTGATCTCTTTCACTACACACATGCACTCACATGTGTACACACACACAGCGTTTTGTTCTCTCGGGTTTAATTCCTGGTCCTCTCTTGATTATCTACAAGTCTACTTGAGCAGCCATACCTATGCCTATGACTTTATGATGTCTTTACACTGATGACTCTCAAATACATATCTGAAGTTATGAATTTTATTTTTTGAAATTAAAAAAATTAGAAGTTGCTATTTTAACCATTTTAAGGTGTGTGTTTGAATAGCTTTTAGTATATCCAAAACGCTGTGCAACTGTCCCTACTACCTAATTCCAGAATATTATCATCAGCCCCAAAAGAAGGCTTGTATCTATAAAAGCCCCTCCCTATTCATACATTCCTCTAGGCTCTGGCACCCACTAGTCTTCTTTCAATGCCTATGGATTTGCCAATTCTGGATATATCACATAAATGGACTCAAACAATAATGTGGCCCGTTTGTGTCTAGCTAGTTCACTTAGCATCATGTTTTCAGGGTTCTTGCATGTTGTAGCAAATAGCACTACTTCTTTCTATCACTAAGCAATATTCTAGGTATAGATATGCCATGTTTTGTCTATCCATTCATCCATTGGTGGACATTTGAGCTGTTTCTGCCTTTTGGCTATTGTCAGTAGTGTTGCTGTAAACACACATATACAAATTGTTGTGTGAATATGTGTTTCAGTTTTCTTGCGTATATGACTAGGAGTGGAATTGCTGGTTCATATGGTAACTGTAATGTTAACGCTATGTTCAGCTTTTTTTAGGAAATGCCAAGCTGTTTGCCACAGCAACTGTACCATTTTACATTCCCACCAGCAATATATGAGTGTTTCAGTTTCTCCATATCTTCCACAACACTTGTTATTATAGCCATCCAAATGAGTGTAGACTGGTATCATTGTGGTTTTTATTTGCATTTCCCCCATGAAAAATAATTTTGAGGCCAGGCGCGGTGGCTCAAGCCTGTAATCCCAGCAATTTGGGAGGCCGAGGCAGGTGGATCACGAGGTCAAGAGATCGAGACCATCCCGGTGAAACCCCGTCTCTACTAAAAAATACAAAAAAAAAAAAAAAAAAATTAGCTGGGCACGGTGGCACGTGCCTGTAATCCCAGCTACTCAGGAGGCTGAGGCAGGAGAATTGCCTGAACCCAGGAGGCGGAGGTTGCGGTGAGCCAAGATTGTGCCATTGCACTCCAGCCTGGGTAACAAGAACGAAACTCCGTCTCAAAAAAAAAAAAAAAAAAAGAAAAATAATTTTGAGCATTTTTTCATGTTCTTATGGCTATTTGTCTATCTTCTTCAGAGAAATGCCTATTCAGCATCTTTGCTGATTTTGAATTGAGTTGTTTGTGGTTAAGTTGAAGGGGGTCTTAATATATTTTAGATATTAATCCCTTACATGATTTGAAAATATTTTCTTCCTATTCTGTGTTTTTTTTTTTCACTCCCTCTTTTTTTCTTTTTTAAGATATGGGGTTTCACTATATCACCCAGGCTGCAGTGCAGGGCCACAATCTTAACTCACTGTAACCTTGAACTCTTGGGCTTAAGAGATCCTCCTGCCTCGGCTTCCTAAGTAGTTGGGACTATAGGCATGCACCACCACACCTGGCTAATTTTTTTTTAATTATGATTATTATTTTTTGGTAGAAATGAGGTCTCACCGTGTTGTGTTGCCCAAGCTGGCCACAAGCAATCCTCCCACCTCAGGCTCCTGAAGCGCTGGGATTATAGATGTGAGCCACTGCCCCTGGCCCAGTGTCATTGTTACTTGTGTTTTATATGACATTCTTTCATTGGTATTTTATGCTTTCCTTGAAAGTCTTTATTCGATAGAAAATGCTTTCTGCCGTTTTGTCTAGTTCATATTTTTCTATTACTGTGAGTTTAAGTAACCTTTTATAGCCAGTAAGATCACCCGTTAAACCCATTATACTTCTTGGTGGTTGATTTTCCTTCTTTTGCATCCATAGGAAATGCTTGGAACTTCTTTACGTTTTTCAAACACAGCTGGCTCTGAAACTGCTCCAGTGTCTGAAAGTGACGGATGCGCCTCATTTCTATGGCCTGCCATCCCTTGAGCGGACTTTACGAGGGATGGCTAACCTCACTGCATTTCCGGGATGGAGCTCACATTCTCCTCTCACAAAGCCTCTCGATATATGTGTGAAGTATTTGTCAGGGCTCCTTGAGGTAAGTGAACATAATGGTTCCCAGATTGGTAGCTGTTTACTACTCAGTGATTGCTTTTACTTTGTGCCAGTTCACAAGTCCATTATATATTATTGTATTCATTGTAGAATATTATGCATTATTTATGTCATAATAGTGAAATGTTTTAGTGATTTTTATTAATAGATAAGTAAGGAAGGTCACTTGTATAAAGACCCTCATTTTCAAAATAAATAGAAACTTTTGATGCTCAAATGAAATGTTGACTAGAGCGTTTCAGATTTTGGATTTTTGGATTAGGGATGCTCAACCAGTAAGTATATGATACAGATACTTCAAAATCCAGAGAACTCCAAAATTCAGAACACTTCTGGCCCCAGGCATTTTGTATACGGCATACTCTGTACAATTTTAAAGGATGTTTGATTTTTCTTATTCTTCTAGTTTGTGCAGTTTTGGATGCTACAGCTATGAACATTCTTGCGTTTTGGTGAAAATGAGCATATTATTTGAAATATTATCTTCCTTTTTTTTTTTTTTTTTTAATTTTTTATTGGATTATAGGTTTTGGGGTACATGAGCAGAGCATGCAAGACAGTTGCGTAGGTACACACATGGCAGTGTGCTTTGCTTTTCTTCTCCCCTTCACCCACATTTGGCATTTCTCCCCAGGCTATCCCTCCCCACCTCCCCCTCCCACTGGCCCGCCCCTTTTCCCCCCAATAGACCCCAGTGTTTAGTACTCCCCTTTCTGTGTCCATGTGTTCTCATTTTTCATCACCCACCTATGAGTGAGAATATGCGGTGTTTCATTTTCTGTTCTTGTGTCAGTTTGCTGAGGATGATGTTCTCCAGATTCATCCATGTCCCTACAAACAACACAAACTCATCGTTTCTGATGGCTGCATAATATTCCATGGTGTATATGTGCCACATTTTTCCAATCCAGTCTATTATCAATGGGCATTTGGGTTGATTCCAGGTCTTTGCTATTGTAAACAGTGCTGCAATGAACATTCGTGTACGTGTGTTCTTATAGTAGAATGATTTATAGTCTTTTGGATATATACCCAGTAATGGGATTGCTGGGTCAAATGGAATTTCTATTTCTAAGGCCTTGAGGAATCGCCACACCGTCTTCCACAATGGTTGAACTAATTTACACTCCCACCAACAGTGTAAAAGTGTTCCTTTTTCTCCACATCCTCTCCAGCATCTGTTGTCTCCAGATTTTTTAATGATCGCCATTCTAACTGGCGTGAGGTGGTATCTCAATGTGGTTTTGATTTGCATCTCTCTGATGACCAGTGACGATGAGCATTTTTTCATATGATTGTTGGCCTCATATATGTCTTCTTTCGTAAAGTATCTGTTCATATCCTTTGCCCACTTTTGAATGGGCTTGTTTGTTTTTTTCCTGTAAATCTGTTTGAGTTCTTTGTAAATTCTGGATATCAGCCCTTTGTCAGATGGGTAGACTGCGAAAATTTTTTCCCATTCTGTTGGTTGCCGATCCACTCTAGTGACTGTTTCTTTTGCCGTGCAGAAGCTGTGGAGTTTCATTAGGTCCCATTTGTCTATTTTGGCTTTTGTTGCCAATGCTTTTGGTGTTTTGTTCATGAAGTCCTTGCCTACTCCTATGTCCTGGATAGTTTTGCCTAGATTTCCTTCTAGGGTTTTTATGGTGCCAGGTCTTATGTTTAAGTCTTTAATCCATCTGGAGTTAATTTTAGTGTAAGGTGTCAGGAAGGGGTCCAGTTTCTGCTTTCTGCACATGGCTAGCCAGTTTTCCCAACACCATTTGTTAAACAGGGAATCCTTTCCCCATTGCTTGTTTTTGTCAGGTTTATCAAAGATTGTATAGTTGTATGTATGTTTTGTTGCCTCCGGTGCCTCTGTTTTGTTCCATTGGTCTATATCTCTGTTTTGGTACCAGTACCATGCTGTTTTGATTACTGTAGCCTTGTAGTATAGTTTGAAATCCGGTAGTGTGATGCCCCCCGCTGTGTTCTTTTTGCTTAGAATTGACTTGGCTATGCGGGCTCTCTTTTGGTTCCATATGAAGTTCATGGTGGTTTTTTCCAGTTCTGTGAAGAAAGTCAATGGTAGCTTGATGGGGATAGCGTTGATTCTGTAAATTACTTTGGGCAGTATAGCCATTTTCACGATATTAATTCTTCCTAACCATGAACATGGAATGTTTCTCCATCTGTTTGTGTCCTCTCTGATTTCGTTGAGCAGTGGTTTGTAGTTCTCCTTGAAGAGGTCTCTTACGTTCCTTGTGAGTTGTATTCCAAGGTATTTTATTCTTTTTGTAGCAATTGCGAATGGCAGTTCGCTCTTGATTTGGCTTTCTTTAAGTCTGTTATTGGTGTAGACGAATGCTTGTGATTTTTGCACATTGATTTTATATCCTGAGACTTTGCTGAAGTTGCTTATCAGTTTCAGGAGTTTTTGGGCTGAGGCAATGGGGTCTTCTAGGTATACTATCATGTCGTCTGCAAATAGAGACAATTTGGCTTCCACCTTTCCTATTTGAATACCCTTTATTTCTTTTTCTTGCCTGATTGCTCTGGCTAGAACTTCCAGTACTATATTGAATAGGAGTGGTGAGAGAGGGCATCCTTGTCTAGTGCCAGATTTCAAAGGGAATGCTTCCAGTTTTTGCCCATTCAGTATGATATTGGCTGTTGGTTTGTCATAAATAGCTTTTATTACTTTGAGATACGTTCCATCAATACCGAGTTTATTGAGGGTTTTTAGCATAAAGGGCTGTTGAATTTTGTCAAATGCCTTCTCTGCGTCAATTGATATAATCATGTGGTTTTTGTTTTTGGTTCTGTTTATGTGGTGAATTACGTTGATAGACTTGCGTATGTCGAACCAGCCTTGCATCCCTGGGATGAATCCTACTTGATCATGATGAATAAGTTTTTTGATTTGCTGTGGCAATCGGCTTGCCAATATTTTATTGCAGATTTTTGCATCTATGTTCATCATGGATATTGACCTGAAGTTTTCTTTTCTCGTTGGGTCTCTGCCGGGGAAATATTATCTTCTGTTACTGAAATATGTAAATACAGCCAATTTTTATACATTGATCATGTATCCAGCAATCCTTGTTTCCAGTATCAAAACAAAAGCCTTTAATCTTTAACCTTTCAGTATGCTGTTTATAGTTGTTTTTGTCAGTTAAGAAAAATCAAATTGAGGAAGTTTTTTGTCATGTTTTGCTAGGAGCTTTGTTTTTTAATTCACAATTGTATATTGCTTTTTTCTGTATCTTTTAAGATACTCATAAGATTTTTATATTCCATTATTTATTGATTTAAAAATGTTAAAACAACCTTGCATTTCTGGAAACATTTCAGTTAGGTTGTGATGTGTTATTCTTTTCATGTATTAATGGATTTGGTCTCTCAGGTTTTTAGAATTATTCTACCTATATTCTTGTGTAAAAAACTTTGTCGAATTTTGCATCTTTTTTCTCATAAAGAGTTTGTCAAGTTTTTAACATCAAAATCGTTTCATTTTTATGACTAAAATGGGAGAGTGACAGAATTAATGGGATGAGGAGATTCTAATATGACATTTTCAACCATTTTAACTTTTCCTTTATGTAACTCTCTTTTTTTTTCTTTTTTTGGAATAGCTGATTTGTATTAGTGTTATTTTGTTCTCTAATGTGGGTAGAATTTGATGGTGTAACTATCTTGGCCTGCAGTTTTCTTTTGGGAAGATTGTAAATTATGAAATGACTTTTTAAGTAGATCTAAAATCATTCAGAGTTTCTTTTTCTATATGTCAGCCTTAGGAAAGTTATGTTTTTATAGAATTTTAAAACTTTTATCTAAATTTTCAATTTTTTACTATGAAATTATTCATTAAATCATCTTACTTTTTAAATGTCTGCTGAATCTGTAGTGAAGTTTCCATTCAATCAGGCATTAATTATTCCTTTGTCAATTTTTCTTGATTGATCTCCCTAATAGAATGAACTGTTGGCTTTGCTGATCCCCTCTCTTTAATATTTTCTCCTGTTTTATTTCTTCCAATATGTATTATTTCCTTCTACTTTTGGTTTAGTTTACAGCTGTTTTTCTAACATTTTAAGGTAGAGTCTGACTTCATTGATTTTTTTTTTTAAGGCTTTCTCAAATGTGCATTTTTAGCTCTAATCCTCTAAGCATGGCCTTATGCCATGTTTTCATCATCATTTAAGTTAAAATATTTTTATCATGATATCATAAATATAACAGTGATATGGTTGTACATAGTTTTATGAGAACAGCTTCACCACAGTGGCCTGACAATTTTGCACATCTGCACTTGGGCCACATACACAAGGCTTAACCACAGCTCATCTAAACCTTGGTAGTACTTCCGGTGATCCTCCTGGAACATGAGAACATGAAAGGCTTATGAGCAGCTGACTATACAAAGTTGATTCTCATTTACTTCACTGACTGTTAGGAAGTCTGTTTCTTATTGGTTCCTGGGTCCTGATGAGGGCCAGGCTTTCTGCCTTGCTCTCCTTGGGGCATAGCTGCAGGTTATAAAACCGCTTTACTGCAACATGGCACAGGCTTCTCAGCAACAGAGTGACCTATCATCTGTGTTATAGTCATCTGGTCCCTTTGTTTCAGTGTCATCCTGTGCAAGGGACACCAGGAGCTGTCAACTTTGACTGTTCTTGCTTTTGCTGTTTATGTAGGTAATAAACTGTCAGAATAAAAAAAAAAATTCCTCACTGTTTTCTTACTGGACAAATCTGTCAATGTTGTTTTGATTGTTAACTATGTTAGGACCTCAAGAATGACTCTTGTAGGAGGCACTGTAGAGTTAGATTTAGAAAGATAAGTGAATTAATACACTGATAGGCATTCTAGACATGGAATTTTCTGATCAAACTGTATCTCTAACCTCCTACATTTTTTTCATGCCATGGGTACCTTCTTGCCAGCATACAGCCTCTATTTACTGCCAGATTATTTTTCAGAAACATAAATCTTTTAATCCAA